ATTTCCATTATATTCATGTTTATTTTATATTAAGGTTTAATACTAATAATTATATTAGTTTTAATAAACAAATTTAAAATGTTATGAAATTTTACCTGCAATATAATATTCCTCAGAATTATTTATTCATCAGGCTTAATGTATTCAAATTTATTTTATGGTAAAAATAGCATTTGTCTTTGATAATTAAGATATTTTAACTTCATTTGATATATAAGATAATATAATGTGTCACATAATTTTTGTCTTGTAATCCTTATTTATATCCTCATTTTAAATCGGTTTTATTAGAAAGTTTAAAACTGTCAAACATCCATATCTATTCTTTTGATGAGAGTTTAAATGAGATCACCCAAACTTCTGAAATGGATGTTTATATTACATTCTGGGATGTTAATATAAACCGTGTAAATGTTCATTACTTGGGATCAAGTTGATTAAATATGATTTAAATATTTAAAAGTTTCTAAATGGTATTTGATTTATATTTTAGATGGGTTGAAAACAAAAAGTTGATTGAAATCTGGAAAATTTAAAAAAGTTTATTTCTTTAATTTTTATTTTAAACGTGCTTGTCTCAGCAATTACAGGGAATTGTCTTTTATTATTAGATTAATTTTATCACTTAGTCATGGCAAGGCTGCTGTTGAGCGTAGTTTCCGCCTAAACAATTCTTCTGTTAAAACAAACATGACACCTTTAAGTATTTTCTCCTGAAAAATTATAAAAGACCATCTACTTGCCAATGGTTTAAAACCACACAGTTCAAAATCACAGCACCATTGGTCAATTCTTTTCAATCAGCCCATCAAATATATAATTAAGTCGGATAACACTAAAAAAGAGAAAGAAAAAATGAGCAAGGACAATCCTTATCACAGCTGATGTTGAAAAGTTTAATAAAAAGTTCAAAATTGCAAAAAAAGCTATTTTAATGATAGAAAATGAGGTTGCAGAGTGTATGGAACTTGCATAGAAAAAAAGTGACCTGAATTATGTTAGAAAGAAAAAGTATTGAAACTAAACACCACATTGAGTTTATAGAAAAACAAATTGAAAAACTTAAAAAAAAGAAAAAAACTTTTCAAGTTAATATTTTATTAACAAATGTTGTGGAACTGTCTTATTTTCGTCTTATTTTTATTATCTTAAGTTGTTTCTTTGTCTTTAAAGTTTCTTATTTTGTGATTTATTTAGAAATTTTGCAATTTATTAATCTTAATTAGAATGAAAAATACTTCTTATGGATTGTGCCTTCTTCATGATTTTTTTTGATATTATATCTTATAATAACTATTGGATTAGTAATAACTATTAGATACTTGGCCTACAAGTTTATTTGTTAGTTGTCATGTATATTTTTTTATTTTCTTTAACTTTTTAAGTAATTGCTTAACTGTATATTCATGTTTATATGAATATATATATGTTTATATTCATGTTTATATGAATATAGTTATTATTTATGCTTAAGTCATTGCTATGACTAACTGAAGTTTAATTTATTTTAGTATTTCTGAAATTTGTAACATTAAATTTTTTTTTTTTTATAGAAGTCCTTGCTTTTGTTGTCTTTTTTTCTGAATATATGGTTCTCAATGGTGTTGAGTATTTATAGTGTTAATGCTTTTCTTTTAAATGTTTTTGGATTATGTTGTAATACACCAATTTAAGTGTTATTCGGTATTTAGTTTTAGATTATATACTTTTATGTTTATAAGTACATGTTAAGTTATCCTTAAGACAATTTTTGTATCACTTTGAAATATTATTAATGCTGGAATTTCTTCAATATGATGCTGGAAAAAGAGATATGGGTTTTAGGACAAAAATCCTAGAAAAACATATCTAAATGAAGTAATAAGTGCTGGATTTTTTTAAAAATTTTGAGTGGACACTCTGAAGTGTTTCACTTCAGTTTAGAAAAGATCAAAGTTTCAAAGTAATTTAATCCAAGCTTATTTACTTCGAAACTTAATTATTTAAAAATCTGAAACTGAAATTTTCTAATGTCTACTAAGCAAAAAAAAACATTATCAGTTAAAAGGATTTGAACCCTCATCCTATGCCAATTTAATATTTATGCCTCATAATTGTTAAAACAAAATCAACTTAAGTGCTTTATCAATGTAGTGGATAAAGGAAAAATTATTAGTTTTGAGGTATTGAGATACTTTTAAAATAAATTAAGTTTAAGTTATTAATTGAGATGCTTCTAAATTAAAATATAAATGATTTTTTATGCTTTTATTTTCTCTGGTTTATCATTTATTTATTTTATCATTTGTTTAGCTCGTTTCTGTTTTGAGATTAAGGTTTGCTATTTTCTCTTTAAATTAGTTTGGTTTTTTCAGCACATTTTTTAAAATGTGCAATTTATCAAAATATGCAAAAAGTTGTGGCTAAAAATGTGGTCATATAAGGTCTTATAAGGTGTGTAGATGCTTGTCTTTCCTGAGAAGGCTTGATGTATATATATATATATATATATATATATATATATATATATATATATATATATATATATATATATATATATATATATATATACATATACATATATAAGATAAATATCAACCATTTTTCTTTTTAAGGTTTTAACATGCCATGTCTTCCAGATGAAGAAAACCCAGACAGAAAAAAAAAAGTAGGTCATATATATAAAAGTATTAAAGGTAATATGTATTTACATATATAATATATAAATATGGGGACAGATTTTACAAAAAAACAAATACTTATGGGGACATTAACATTATCAGGGAAATTTTTGTGTACCCATTAATTTTTTGTCCTCATAAGCATTGTTTTTTTTTGTAAAAAAAATGTCCTTGTAAGCAACTTTTATAAAGAGCAAAAAGTACACAGACTATCAAATAGCCTGACTCGCAAGGGAAGACTGCTACATTGACTGAGGGTTTGGTTAGGGTCAGCATCAAGGTCAGGTTTAAGGTTAGGGTTACAGCAAGATTTAAATATGGTTATATTAGTGTAATAAATTGTTTTTTGTAAATAGATGAAAATAAATATGAAATATAATATATTATAAAAAAAATAAAATAAAAAAAATAAATATTTTTTATAATAAAATATGAAATATAATATATTATAAAAAAAATAAAATAACAAAAATAAATATTTTTTATAATAAAATAATAAATTTAAATATGTATAAATAAAAATAGAAATAAAATTATATATATATATATATATATATATATATATATATATATATATATATATATATATATATATATAAATGATGCACCCTAATATATATTATATATTAGGGTGCATCATTTTTCAACAAATATTTCAAATTAAATCCCAACCACCTGGGTTAGTTGACCGGTTGGATAAAAATAATTTTATACTGAAAATTTTTTTTTGAAACCCATATTTAAAGTTCCCTGCTTTTACAATTTGTGCCCTCAAACCCCCACTTTTTAACCAAAAAGCGTGGACTTTAAAAATTGAAATAAAACACCAATTTTTTGACCCTGGAAAATTGGGCAAAATGTTTTAATTTTAGGTAATTTTATGTATATATCTATTGACCAATTTTTTTTATCTCAAACTTTCTGTGACAAATTTTATTGAATTCTCGTTCACGAAATTTTATCGAATTCTCGTTTACAAAGAAGAATTTATTTCAAAATTCAATTTTAAAATTAGAATTATAAATTATTTTTGCCCCTATAGGAAGGCTAGCAGTGGCCAGCAGAGGGTTTGTTTCTTAATAAACCAACCCACCCTTCCATCCATTTTTTTTTGCACAGATTATGTATGTAAGATCTGCTTTGAAGTTTTATTTTTACATAAAGTTTGATTAGACTTTCATATAAGGGCTGTAAAATATGCATTTTATTTTAATGAAGCAATTTTATTTTGCTCAATCTCATGTAGCTGGGATAGATAAGGTAAAAAAATAAATTTTCTGAAAAATATATAATGACATTGTTGACATCAACAATGATAAATTATTAAATAATCAAGACAAAATTTTCTTCAAAAACAGTCAACTCCCAAACCTTTTTTTTAACTCAACAAAACTTTCTTCATGTTTCTGGTAAAAAATCGAATATTCTCCAAATTATGCTTTGTAAGCCAATGGCCAACATTATATCTTGCCTGTCCTCTTCATTATAAACAGAATTAACAAACTGTGACACAAGCTTAATTGCCCATTCAGAGTAGTTATTTGGCAAACAAATTCAATGAAATTTTTTAATTGGTTGATAAAGCCCCAACAAGATGAAGGACAGTTCAGCCAATGTCTTTAATCAAGTTTAACAGACTAAAAATAAACCACAAGTTCCTACCAACCAACTGTGAAAAGCTAGGTGGTTTCTCCTGGGTGAAATCTAGACCTTTCAGAAGGATTGGATTTTCAGACTTCTCATAGTGTGTAGGAACTGGTTGTGTGAAAAGAACTTTTGCAACTTTTTCTCATCATCTTTGAATTCTTCACCTGGGAGGCATAATGGAATCAAGGTTTGATCCAAAAACTATGTATGTTTCTCCATTGATTTCAATATTTCTTCAATTCCCTCTAGAACATCATCAGATCATCATAGGACGGACATCATCACCAGATTATAGGATTCTATCTAACTTTTATACTGGACCATCTGCTAGTATACTTTTATTTCTTGAAAAGAAATAAAAAAGGAAACTAAAGAGGAAAACTAAAGAGGAGAACTAAAGAGGAATGCACAAACCACACAGTATAAAATATAGAAATAAGTATAGTATAAAATATAGAAATAAATTCTGCCATTTTACTGATTTCTTTTTGTAAACTAGCTGTAAAATGGCCGAGCAACTGATTACTTAAAACTTGAATTTTAAGATAATATATTGATTTTGCCATAAAACATGCATGGGAAACTGATCCCGGATCATAAACATTAAAGCTTACATCTGGGCATAACTACTTATGAGTCTAAGTTCTACTAGTTCTTTTCATCACCTCTTGGAAATACTATATTGGCAAATGCATATTTGCAAAATTGAATAGTTTCTTCAATCTGTTTTTCTAGATATGTTCCTTTAACTGCAACTTTGTCAAACTTTTTGAACTTTGATTTATCCATATTATCCCTTTGTTGTATTCCAATTGACAGAACCCAATATTTGTGCAGGAATATTTTCCTGTATTAGTTGCATTAGACCCTTTATATAAGTTCTTAGCTTATATTCGTCCTAAATGTTTACTAAAGCATCATAATGAGATTTTCTAGTACCGTGTTCCATTGGCAGAATGCCAAGAAGCTCTAAATCACCATCAATATTTACAAAAACAGTAAAATGAGCTCTTTTTTGTTTTGTACCGTAAGTGATATCCTGCACAAATTTTCCATCAAAGTGTGAGGTTATTGGAAATTTATTTTGCCTTTTGTTATATCTTATTGATATATAGCTGCACTTGTATTTCCTGCTTTCTTTTTTGCACATCTGATGGTGGATTCAGAAAGGGAGAAATCTATCAAACTGCCCCCAGAAGTAAGTACTATGTCAGAGAGCAAGTGCATCATATTTTTAGATGAAATGTTTTCAGAAACACCTGTAAATTTTTTAGGTAATACTGTTGAAGCTTTAGTACCTGATTTAATTTTGTTTGCTGAATAGTCAGAATTCTGACAGGAAGAGACCTCACTTTGTTCGATGATAAAAACTCAGTTTTCTCAGTTTGATCCTCTTGTCGCTCAATGATTGTTAAATTAAATATCACAATCTTCTTCCTTCTATCTTTCAGCAAAATCCTTTGAACTAAATAATTTTATGCTTTGTCATTTGATCTTTTAAAAACTGCTTATCTGAATCTAGGTTGTTTCCATGTTTCTTTTCCAAAATAGAACAAATATCAGGTTTTCCGATCCAAAAATTTCTTAGCATTTTTTAAAAAGATGACTTTAGCTAATTCTGCTGCGTTGCCTTTTTTATTTTTATTTTTTTTCAACGTTGCTCATTTTTCAACTAGATCTTTTAATAGTTTCCTAGAACACATAATATTTATTACAAATATATTATGAACACATGTTTATTGAATTTTTTTCTTATTGCTTTTTAATCTAGCCTCATATATGAGACAGAATGAAAAGAGTCAAGTTAACAAGTAATTATAAGCAAAATTAAAATTCGGAAAAAATAAAAAAACTATAATTTTATATATATTTAGGAAACCTGATGTGCTTGTCATGAAATATGCCGCCGTCATATCCTACATAACTCCATGGTTTCTTTATAGCAAAAAGGATACAGTTCTGAAGACATTGCTAAAAATGTCTTTGAAAATTATCTCGTGATTTTTGGTACCATCTTTACTTTTTTTTAAATCTTTTTATTTTATTTTTAATTTTAAAGTAAAAGTTATAAATGAAAGTTAAAAAAATATACTTAGCTTAAATAAAAGTATGGCACGAATTTGTTTTTTTATCTTTAATTTTTTTTTACAAAATAGTTCGAAAAATAAAGATTGTTTTTGTTTGTGACAGACATGAGTTATATTTGATTGCAAGCGTTGCGTAATTTCTATTTAAATATATTATAAAATTACATTAAGTTAGTACGTTTTAAGCTATTTTTCTTGGTCTAAATTAGTATATATTTTTATTAGTCTATAATAAAAAAATTAGTATATATATTTTTAAATGTAAACTTTCCAACCAATTATAAATTAATATTTAGGCCTTTTAGAGTTTGTAGAAAAAAAAATTGGTGTTTTATTTTAATGTTGAAAGTCCCCCTTTTTTGGTTAAAAAAGTGGGGGTTTTAGGAATAAACATTGTAAAAACAGGGACCTTAAAAATGGGTTTCAAAATTTTTTTTTCACCATAAAATCATTGTTATCCAAACGGTCAACTAACTCAGATGGTTGGGATTTAATTTGAAATTATATATGTATATATATATATATATATATATATATATATATATATATATATATATATATATATATATATATATATATATATATATATATATATATATATATATATATATATATATATATATATATATATATATATATATATATATATATATATATATATATATATATATATATATATATATAATATATATATATATATATATATACATACACAGTATTGAGCAAAACATTTGCAACCAACATCGAACAATGCTAAAAAGTGTTCCTAGTTTTACATGTCTTAAAAACGAAACAAACTATACTACCACAGCAAACAGTTCAGGAGTCTGGAGTCATAGCCTGCCATGACATAAGCAATTAGCTGACAGGTGACAGCACACAGGCAGAATTTCCCTGACAAGTGCCATTTTGCAGCAGACAAAACAAGTGCAACTTTTTTGGTTTGTTTCATTTGCTTAAGTCTGGTCCGTGTCAACGTCACGGAAGTTTTTTAATAATTAAAGGAAGTATTCAGAAGTTTCCAGAAGCATGCAGAAGCTTCCAGAAGTTTCCAGAAGAAGCATCTGGAAGCATCCAGAAGCATCCAAAAGTATCCAGAAACATTCAAAAGCATCCAGACGCATCCAGAAGCATCCAAAAGAAGCATCTAGAATCTTCAAGAACAGGTTCACACAGGTTCATTTTACTATATAAGAGACATGTAAACCGGCATGTAATTTAGTCAGTATATGGAAGTCAATCAGTCAGTATTATCAACACAGTTTATCAAAGTGAGTTTTATCAAAGTGTTTTATCAAAAAACATCAATACAAGAAGTGAAATACAACAAGTGTTTCATTACATCAATACAGTCCACATCCAACCAAGACGTTGTGTTCTTTAGAGCATTATTGTATCATCACAAGGTAAATGTAACACGGTAAGCCTTGAGAAACTTGATAATTTATTTTTATTATTTTTATGACTTTAAGTGCAAAAATGGCTCCCGACAGTCTTGGATTGGAACTAAGAAAGAAAATTATTGGCGATTACGTAAGTGGAATGTCACAAAAACGTATTTGTGATGAATATCGCGTGAAAAAATACACCGTATCAAAACTATGTTCCAAATATTATTCTACAGGGAAGTTGGCAGCAGATAACAAAGGTGGAAGACCGCGTTCCACCACTTCTAGAGAGGATTCTATGATCATCAAATCCGTCAAGAAGGATCCCTGGATATCATCAATCGAGATACAAAAGCAGTTAGAGCTTCCTGTATTGGACCGAACAATCAGACGACGTGCTGTTGAAGCCGGATTGTTTTCTCGACGCCCTGCAAAAAAAACGCTGATTTCACTAGAGAACCAGAAGAAAAGACTCCTGTTTGCTACATCTCATATTGACTGGAATGTGCTGCAATTGCGAACTGTCCTGTTCAGTGATGAATCGAAGTTCAACATCATTGGGAGCAATGGCATTGGCTGTGTACGTCGACTGGCTGGAAAACGCCTTGATTTACGTTACTGCCATAAGGGGTCTTGGAGTGTTTTTCTGCTAACTGTCTAGGTATAATACATCGAATCGATAGAATAATAGATTGTTTCATGTATAAAAATATCCTGAAAGATGTTATGTTACCTCATGCTGAATGGAATATGCCAATAAAATGGGTTTTTTAGCAAGACAACGATTCGAAACACACTGTAAAAGTAGTCAAGCAGTAGTTTCAAGACAACCACGTATCAGTGATGGATTGGCGGTCTCAATCTCCGGATCTCAACCCTATTGAGAACCTGTGGGAGATCATCAACTGTAGAATTAATCGTGAAGGTGTTCGTAATAAGGATCAACTGTTTGCACAAATCCAAAAGATCTGGGCAGCGATTCCATAAAGTTTCATTGATCACCTGATTGAATCTTTGCCTCGAGATGCAAGGCTGTGATCGACATCAAAGGATTCGCCACGAAATATTGATAGCGAAATTTTTTTATTTTTAATTTTTTATTTTAATTCACCTCCTCAAGGCCGAGCAAGCCACTACAGACAAGGAGGCTACTTATTTGTGGCTATAACCCTCTCTGAACTCTATAACTCCGAAACAGGAACCTTGACGAACAAGGTCGCTGCGCGGAGAAACGAGTTGAGCGCGGTACTACCAGGGATGTGGTGGGGATTGAAATCGGAACCACTTGTTTATGAAGCGAGCGCTCTACCACTACACCACTACTGCATAATACAGCTTGGTCAACATTTTGTGGAGTTGCACTTGTTTTGTCCAGAAGGAAATCAACTTTTTTTAATACTTTTGATTAATTTATTAATTTTCGTGTACAAATAATGAACTTTGTGATGAATAAAACTTGAAGAACGTTGTCTCTAAACAGTTACATAGTTATTTCTCTAAATTGAAAAAATGCAGCACTTTTATATAAAGAAACTAAATTAGCATTATTTGGTTGCACTTGTTTTGTCCGATATATATATATATATATATATATATATATATATATATATATATATATATATATATATATATATATATATATATATATATATATATATATATATATATATATATATATATATATATATCATCACCATCGCTCTAGCCTCCCCAATTTATGCTGTTTCTCTAATATTAACAATCTAAAGCATTTTCTTTCCTTTAAGAGATCCCTAAGTTCCAAGAAAAGTTGTGTTCATATCTTAAATAATCCTTAAAAACTAAGTTTTATATTAATTAAACTTTTCAAAACAAATTATTTATCGAGATATTATTGCAAATACATTTGATTTCACAGTAAATAAAAATGCATTGTGTGTGTATATATATATATATATATATATATATATATATATATATATATATATATATATATATATATATATACATATATATATACATACCTACATACATGCATACATACATACATGGATACATAAATATATATATATATATATATATATATATATATATATATATATATATATATGCATGTATATTTTGGAATCAGTAAAACACCTTTTACACTTCAGTATGCAAACCATTTAAAATCTTTTTATACAATTAAGTATATTAATGATATAGAGTTATCTAAGAAAGTTTGACAAGAGAAAAGCTTTATACCTTTAATAAAATAGAAAATTATCAAACAATTCAAACTATACAGTCATTACATATACAGTCATTACATATACAGTCATTACATTATTAGTATACATAATAGGTAGTTGTTAGCTGCTACTTCATCAAGTATATTTTTGAGATAGAATGACAACCCTTTGCACTTTCCTTTGACATACAAAAGGATCCATTGAAAACTGTCTTTTAGCCCTTCCAATACATGTTTGCTTTTTTTTAAGCATTTCTGCTAAATTCTTTTTAGAACTAAAAGCAACAGCTATTTTTATAATTCTATAATTCTTCCTGGAAACCTATGTAAGCAGAATGTTACAATTAAACAATTTGATTAGTTTAAAAGTTAAGTATGTCACGGTTATTTTCCATAGTTTCATAAACTAACTACAAAATGCAGGCCCAAGGCCTGCATTTTGTAGCTTAGTTGAGCTTATTAAAAAATGGTAGTTATATTAAATTTTGTATTGTTAAAAAATAACAATCATAAGGATAAAATTTAAATTAAGTTTCAATAAAATAAGGATAAATATAATGTTTCTAAAAAATTATATTCATAAATATAATTTTTTAAAAACATTTTGATAACAAAATCAACTTTATTAAAAGAATTTTTAATTTAATATTTTGAAATGTATGGTTATACACTTTGTCTGGAATAACAAAAAATCACATAATGGAATCTAAATATGTTTATATATACAAACATATATTTAAAATGTACAAAATACAGTATTGACCTAAACCCTCAAAAGTATGTATATAAATATATATTTTTTTATATTTGACTAATTTAATTTTGGTTAGATATTTTAATTTTCATTTCTGTTGCAGATTTTCAAACGGAAAGGAAGTCAAAAAGTTATAAGGTATTTTTTTAGTTTTCATATATTAAATAGGCTAAATGATCTATTAATTGTCTGTAGTCATTTTTTAACAAGAATGGTTTTCATCATTTTTAAATTTTTAAAGATAATAGTGCCAAAATAATAAGTTTTTATAGATAATTTATAGACATCTCACAAAATGATGATATCTAACTTTTAGCTAGAAAAACTTTCGCTTTTTATATCTATTAGAATCATTCAGGTTTTAATTAATTCACTTTAGACATTTATCTTTTTAGATGTCTCTTTAGTACAACAATATTTTTAAATATGTTTTTGTTAATTTGAAGATACCTTTTTGTTAAATTGAAGATACATTGAAGATACCTTTGGCAAAACATACTTTTTTAAACACATACAAAAATTGTTATAAAATGAAGATTGAATTAAAATACTTTGCTCAACTTGTTTCTCCGCTAAGCCACATTTTTCATCAAGGTTAATGTTTCAGAGTTAAAGAGTTGAGAGAGATAGAGAGTTGTAACCATAAAAAAAGTAGCCTTCTCAACTGTAGTGGCTCTCTCGGCCTTAAGGAGGCGAATCATATTTAAAGAAAAAATTAAACATAGTAAAATTTAAAAAAAAAGTTTTTTGTCAAATCAAAAAAAAAAAAAAAAAAAGTAGAATATGCAATTTTTAAAAGTTGCATATTCTTTTCAAGGTTGTCTAAAAGTTTTTTTAGTTTATTTAGAAACAAATTCATGGAAACGATAAAGGAAAAAAGGAGATAAAATATAATAAAAGAGAGGAGACAATAAATGATAAAGGAGAGAATATGGCATTTTAAGCTTTATCAAAACAGCTTTATCAAAAAAGAAACATTTTATTTTGAAAAAGTTTTTTTTTAATGAAATTAATATAGCCAATAAAAAATATGGACATTAAATAGATTGTTTTACCCTACATATAAATGACTCAGATTTTAAAATTAGGTAAATGACTCTTTATAAAAATTAAAAAAAATTAAAATCCTTATTAAAAAGTTGATCAAAGCAGATTGATTTTTACAGCATTTTCTTCCTTTAAATCAGTTTGAAGGCAAAGAATCGAGAGAGCCACAATGCTGGTAAGTGTTTTTAGCAAAAATATTTGTTCATTTTTTTTGTATTAAATTTATCATTTTTTGAAGTTTTATCATGAATTATTTTACAGATGAAAAACGGCGAAAAGAAAAGTTAAATAAACTGATTGTCAAATTAAAAGACCTACTTGGTTTGGATGGTAAGAAGGTAATGTCTGCCATATAGTTCATTTGGTTCATTTAATTATAAAGGCATATATAAACTTTATTTGAATCAATATATATTTTTAATTATTTTTATATATTTATTATTTTGTAATTTAAAAATGCAATCTGGTCTCTATGCTAAGAGAATGGAATTTTTTATTTGGCTTCAAATATGTTCTCATAAAATGAAAAACATTTGATTAAGGTTTTATTCAACAACAATACACTAATCGAAAGATCTAAGAATTGAAATATATATATATATATATATATATATATATATATATATATATATATATATATATATATATATATACATATATTATATATATATTATACATATATAAATATTTTTATATATTTAGTATTATTCTTTTAGATATTTATTCAATATTATGTTTTTTCTTATAGATGTACAATATATTAATCTAAAGATCTAAGAATTGAAGTATATAAAGATATATATATGTATATATATATATATATACATATATATATATATATATATATATATATATATATATATATATATATATATATATATATATATATATATATACCTTTATATATATATACTTTTATATATATATATATATATAAATATATATATATATATATATATATATATATATATATATATATATATATATATATATATACCTTTATATATATATATACTTTTATATATATATATATATATATATATATATATATATATGTTTCAATGTCATATCTTGTTGTTCGTGAATATATATATATATATATATATATATATATATATATATATATATATATATATATATATATATATATATATATATAATTTAAATATAAAGCATAAAACAACAGCTGCAAAGAAAAAGTTTAGTTTGTATGCAGCTGTTGTTTTATGCTTTATATTTTAAATATATATTTTTATATATTTAGTATTATACTTTTAGATATTTATATAATGTTATGTTTTTTTTATAGAGTAAGGTAGCTATTCTTGAAAAAGCTGTAGAATTTGTATCAAAAGAGAAAAAAGAAGCAAAAAACTGTAAAATCTTAACTTTTACAAAAGTTTTAATAAATTATTCATTTTTATTTTTAGCTATGTTTTTAGTTTTGCTTTTAACTTTTAACAGATGACATGGAATATGTTAACCAAAAAATAAAGAGCCTGGAGTCAATAATAGTCAGTTTAATTGATTTATTATCTTGCAACTCTGTCTCATTGCCCAGCAACATTCAAGTTATTAAAACTTCTTCAAAGCCTGATGTTACTTCTGAATCTACTGCGTCAGCAATTAATGATGTTGTACACATTGTAATGGATAGTAACATTTCAAGTTCACAGTTTTTAAGAGATTCTATTATTGAAAATACAGCTTTTCCAAGTAAGCTTTCAAAAGAAAATTTATCAAACAGTTCTGAAAACAGTTTATTAAATTTTTCATTTAATAATGAAATTATGTTGCCTGGCACCAATATTACTCCAACTGCAATAAAAACATTGAAAATTCCACCTAATAAATCAACTGATTCAATTTCCAATAATCTACTTGAAATTCAAAAACCTCACTATCATGTCAATTTAAATAATGGATTAGGCTTACTCAATATAAACCCGAAAATGAGTATTACACAAATAACAATAGATCACAAACAAAGTCATCATCAGTTCTCAGATGAACTGAGTAATCAATGTGATGTTACGAGAGAATCTCTAAATGAAAATTTAACATCTAAGTCAAATGAAAGTGAAAATATAAATTTACCAGTTGATGACTCTTTAAAAAAACAAACATTAGCTTCCTCACTACCTCAGAGTGAAATGCTTATTTCTGAAAAACCAACCAGGAATGAAAGTTCCAAAACAGGTACCTTGCAAAATAGAGATGTTGAAAATCCTGTTTTTTTAAATCATGGAAAAGTTTTAGTACAAGTTTTAAATGATAATCTTTCAAACGATGACTCATTTAGAAACACCTTTCCTGTAAAAACGTTTGGAATTGATAACCTTATTTCAAACACAAATGTTTCTAAAAATACTCTTTTAAAAAGCCATAATAAACATGAGAACCAAGAGTTATCTTGCAGTGGACATACAGTTGAAGCTTTATTAGATTCCTCTACAAAGAATCGTAAATTAGAAGAAAACTCAGTTCATTTTAACAAGGATACAACAATGGCAATAACATCTTTGAGTTCTTCTATTACAGAAAGAGTGATTTACACTGAAAGTTTACCCAGCTCGTTGCCACAAGCAACAGTATCAACAATATCAACCACATCACACAGTTTATTTGATAATAATCTTGCAGAATGTGTTGATAAACAATCAAATACACTAAAACGCTGGACTAATGTTGTAAGTAATGCACAAAATAGCAATATGTTGATTGCTTCATTTCCTTTATTAAAAAAAACAGTTAAATTTAAAACTAAAAAACAATCCCAAAAGCAAAAGAAAATTAAAAATGGTAGCAGTGAAACTATTGGCACTAAAGCATCTAAAAATGACTCAAATGTAAGTTTAATAGCTTGTACATCGGGTCTTGACCATGAACTCGCTGAAAATTCAAAAAATAAAATTGGTTGTGACACCTCAATAAATGTAACTACTAGCTCATGCATTGTTACTAGCTCAACTTGTTTATCTTCTGTAGTATCTTCTATAGATAAAACCTTGGATAATGTAAATAATGTACTAACCCTGAAGAATGCAAACTGTGTACCAAACCTGAAAAATTTAGTTAGTGCACCAGAAGCGTTTAATCAACCTTTATTGCGTACTATGAAAGACAGAACCATTCGCAATAAATGGTTAGAACGTGATAAAACATATATTGATGTAGCTTCCATTGACTCATCATTTGAACAACAAGCGAGTCCTGTAATATCTTTTCCTTATGTTGGTTGTCGAAAACGTACTATAGATATATTATCTCCTACTACTCAACCATTTCAAAAACGCACCTTTTCCAAGCCTTCTTCAGAGAACAGAACTAAAGTAGCAAGTAGAGCGCGTAGTTTTTCTGTTGAGTCCTTATCAAAGTCAGCTATACAGACTTATAATGATAAACAATTAAATCTTCCTTTGTTACCTGTAGTCTCTTCTTACTCCTCAAATTGCCCTTCTAATGTTCAAAAGTTAAAACATCAACCTGATATTCCTATTGTCACCCCTCTTCCAACAATTTTAAACATTTTTGCACCAGCTCAAGTACCTGTGAGCAGTATGCAACAAGGTAACTTGTCAAACTTTTCAGCTGAAAATCATGTTTCTGATGGATGTGGGCTTATAAATGAAAATATGGAGGAAAATTCATTCAACCCAACTATGTTTATAGCTGGAAATCAACAGATGTTTACTAACTATTCAACAAGTAATCTTATAAATTCAGATCAATCCTCTTTCCCCTATGCTATAGACAATCTTATTAGTCAAAATACTACACCGATGCCAATCTGGAGTGCACCATGGTTACCACAGGATTATAATTGTGATTTTTTTAATCCTGTTTTTAGTCACATGCATAACAATTTTAACAGAAGAAATACAACAGAATGTAGTCCTATTAAAAGTATTATCAGTATCCTACAATCAACATCCAATCAACCAAACCAAAATATTCAGTTTAATCAAATTTCAGCTCCTGATTTCCCTCACACACAAAATTCTATAATGCAAAATTACACTTTGCCTGACAGCTTATCGGATGAACAAGTTAATTTTTCAAGCAATTTTAACACACATAGTAGACATACTGAAGCCCAAAATCAAAATGGTAACAACCTCCAACTTGAAAGCATGCAAAATAGTTGTGAATTAAGAAATAATAGAATAAATAATAATTTAGCAACAAATGAAAATTCTCAGTTGAATTCAGACCTATATAATACACCTCCAGTATTTCCTTTTAGTCAATGGCAAGACTTCCAGACTAAGAATAAAATCTAATAAATGAATTATTTGATCTTTAGTTGAAATAACAAGTTATTAATAACTAATGCCAACTTTACTTAAAATTATTATATTTTATTTAACAAATTTAATTTTTATTTTATATATATATATATATAAATATTCATATATAAGGATAAATACAATTTTATACCAATATATTTTATTAAATTTGTTTTATTACCTTTAATTTTGTTTTCTTTTTTGTCATATCTTGCATACATCATACATATTTTAAAATTTACATACACACGTAAAACACAAAGCATATACACATGTACAATAGTATTATGTGTTTATATATATATATATATATATATATATATATATATATATATATATATATATATATATATATATATATATATATATATATATATATATATATATTTATAAATATATAATAGTATTATGTATATATATAATAGTATTATATATATATATATATATATATATATATATATATATATATATATAGTTATATATATATATATATATATATATATATATATATATATATATATATATATATATATATATCAACCCTCGGAATTAGGAAAAAAGTGGTCGGCAATAATTTGCCTGAATCTTTTTGAGATCGGCATCAGGTCGGCAAAACTTATTTGATACAAAGGTCTCACCATAAAATATAGAAATGAGGTCAGCAATTTTTTGTCGGCAGTTAGGTTGGCATTGCCAAATGCCGACCCTAATTCCAAGGGTTGATATATATATATATATATATATATATATATATATATATATATATATATATATATATATATATATATATATATATATATATATATATATATATGTTAAGTATATATTTATTCAAACTCAAAAAATTCTACATAGCTTTTTTAATGAACCCAATTCTAAAATATGTGAACAAATTTTGGAGGTTGGAGCAGTAAAAAAAGTCACATATTTTCATTATGAAGCATTATTGGGAAATCACTGTGATAAATTTTGAAATAAACTTATAAATTTATTGATTTTTTTTTGCTACTCAGTTACCGAAAGACAATATCATTGTTTAATCTGAATTAGGCTTTACTATTAACTTTTTATCAAAATGGGTTTTAAAAAAAATTTAATGCTTCATAATCACAATATTTTGTATTTTTGCCTGCTCAAATTTCCAAAACTTACTTACAAATTCAAGATTGGGTATATTAATAATGGAAGGTTATGTGTAGTTTGTGCACATTTTATTTTTTACAATAATCAAAGTTTTGTACAGAATTAAATTCTTTCAAGAAAATATATTCCTTATATTGAAATGGTTTAGCATAAATATATGTGTATATATATTTTTTTTTTAAGTTTAGTTTATTAAATACTTATTACACTTTGTTTTTTTCTTTTTTTAAATACACTGCACTTTATATCAATTCTTGCATTTTTTCTGTTTTATGTAACATATCACTAAATATTTTTTTGATATTTTTACAGTGTCAAATTTTTTGTCAAAAGGAACAAAATAAAATTTGTTTTGAATTAATATAATACATAATAGTTTTTGTTGCTATGGATGTCTTGAAGAGCAAATTTATATGTCAAGTTGTTGCCAAGAGGTTTACATCTTACTTAAGAGGTAATTTTTTTAATGATTTTAATAACATTCTTAAACTTAATATAGTGAGAAAATCTATGTAATTATGCTGAACTTATTAAAGTAGTACCCTTTCGAGTGTGTTTGACATAGAACTCTTGACAGCTGTTGCAACCGAGGTAATGGCTAGAAAGAGTTGCAGTACTTTTTTTTATAATAAAATGTTAACAAAAGTGTGTTATGCAAATATCTCACTTTTGTAAATTTAAAACTATGTAATGTTAAAACATATCAAGTTTCAAAGTTTTATTTTCACTTTTCAAAATTGCATTGCATCAACATCTCCTTTATTTTGATCTATATCATTTATTTCCATTTTATAGTCTTTTGTTTGTTGAATTGTTTTAAAATCTTCTTCAGACAACACGCCTGTGTGGCCAAGTGGATAGCTTGCAGGGTTTCTAAAGATAAGCGCCATGGTTCGAAGCCTACCACTGGAACCTTTTTTTATTTATTCAATTTTTTTTAAAATACAAAACAAAACATTATTGAAGTTTTACAGGTGTTATATACATATGTCAAGATATTATACATTGTAAAAAATGAAAAGGAGGGAATTTTAATAAAGCTTCAAATTTCTGAAAACATCAAAACAACATTAGAAATGTGTTGTTGTCAAGATAGTTGTGGGTAAGATGACGGGGTAAGAGTTCTGATGAGTTCTAAATGTGAGAATAAAGTTTGGATATATATTTTTTTTGCTTCAAGAGTAATATTTAAAAGAATTATTTTTCTACAATATATTCAAAAAACATTAAAGATTTAAGACTGAGAATTTAAGTAGAATCATTATAATAGTTCTAAAAAAAAAATTTTCTAATTTTATAAAAGTTTATGCAATAATTATAAGCAGTGGTGGAATGGACTTTAAAAATAAAGAGGTGGAAGTTGATTTTATAGTTTTATAACTTTACAGTTTTGTTTATATATAGATATTTTAAATGTTTTTTTATTGTATTTCATAAAATTTCTTTTTAAATATTTTTATTTTTTAAAGCACATAAAAAAAGATTTTATAAAGAAGTTACTCTAAAGCCTGTTCAAGGTAAATTTAAATGTTTAAAATAAAAGCAATATACATATATATTTGTTAATATATTAATGTTTTTTTTGATATAGAATAATCTCATGTGAACTCAGTTGGTTGTTTAAACTATAAATAAATTGTATTGTTGAAATTTTGCGTATATGAAAAACCCAATAAGTTAAGTCCAGTGTTAATTTGGACACCTAGAGCTCAAATATCAAGTTATCGCTTACTTATTTTTTTAAATTGCCATAATAGAAAGTTAGCTGTATGAACTGATGAAAAGAATTTCTAGGATTGTGAGCAACATTTCTAACCTGGTTGGAAAAATACTTTTAACTTTTTACATTCTTTTTTTTTATGACTGATGGTAATCTTTAAATTACAATATACAGCAAAAGTTCAAAAATTTGCATATTTAATGTCTAAAGATTAACTTTGCTGTACTTCTTTTAAATGCGCTTTCAATACAATTACATGGGGATTAGCCATAACTGTCTACAAAAAAGTTCTATTCTGCCTTTGAGTTAAATTTATTTTGATGTAAGCATAGGTTTTTTAAATTTTTTTGTTTTTATATTGAATTTCACAAACATTTAAAAAGTACTCTATTTCTTTTATTTGTGGGATTTTAGAATTGATAAAATTTGTAATGACATTTTATATTTCATGCATCATACCAACATTTTGTTTTATGTCATTATCAGAGATAATGTAAAATGACTTCAATTAATTGCAATTAATTATTGTGTAACACAACTTAAATATAATGTGTACTAAAGTTTATTCTAGTGAAAACTCAAAATATCATCCTGAGCTACAAAACTGTAATTCTCTGCAAAGTCAGTCAGCAAAATAAAAATTTCATTTTCAATGTTTAATTTTATTGCTGTAAATCTTTAGATCATATTAAATTTTAAACTGACAAGTTTTGTAACATAGTACATTTTAAGAAAAGCATTAATTTAAACAGTGATGGGTTTAGGTGAAGAGTAACCTGTATGTATTCATTGTTTTTTTAACTGATGTCTTTTTCACCTTTGTACTCAAAAAAAATATCATAGAATGGATGATGGACACAATTTAACAGATGATGGACATGATTTAACAGATGTTCTAATAACTTTATCAATTTTTTTTGTTAGCTCACACATTTTGATCAATAGAAAAAGTCCATTTGCATTTGATACTTGATTGTCCAAAATGATATATCATTTTGGCCTTATGTAACAAAATTTCAAAATTTTTTATCATGAGGTGTTTTGATCTAAGTTTAACTACTAATCATATGAATGTATAACTAACACTATTGCAACATTATTTAACACTACGGCGACTTATACATGAATGTATAATCAACACTATTGCGACATTATTTAAAACTATGTCGACTTATACATGAATGTGTAACTAACACTATTGTGACATTATTTAAAACTATGGCGACTTATACATGAATGTATAACTAACATTATTTTAAATTTTTTTTCATTTGATTACCCAATAATGATTTATTAATTACTTCTGATATTTTAACTTTTATTCCCAAAGATGTCTAGGTTTCATTTAAAGTTAAAAATAATTTTTGTAACTTGACCAAAACTAGATAGAGTTATAATTACTATGTTTTTTATGCTTTATTATTTTTCAATTTAAAATTATCAAAATTAAAGTTATTTTACTTTTTAAAAGTAAAGATGGATTCTTAATACAGCTTGACAAACGAACTATAAAAACACCTCTTGGAAAACCTCTACTTGTACCTTGTGAACCTTTGGGCATTGCGGTAGCAAATGAATGGCATATGCAAGATTCTGATATTAATACTAGTGTTATGCCTCTGGTATGTGTTTAATTGATCCTTTATATTAACTTTTGAAACCTCATGAAAAGATGCTCACTAATCATCATACTTTGTATCTCTACTGTATGTACATAGTTATGCAGAAAATAATTTTAATTTTAAAATTTTTGACAAATTGTTTAATTGTATTAACACACACACACACACACACACACACACACACACACACACACACACACACACACACACACACACACACACACACACACACACACACACACACACACACACACACACACACAAGTAACCAGGGCTGATATTTGAGCAGGTCTAGTATTATGGTCAGGGCTACCTAAATCATGACAAACCCAATCAAAAATCAAAATCATGACAAACCCAAATCATGACAAACCCAAACAAAATCAAAACAAATGTATATATATATATATATATATATATATATATATATATATATATATATATATATATATATATATATATATATATATATATATATATATATATATATATATAGATATATATGTATATATGTATATAAATATATATATATATATGTATATAAATATATTTTTTTTATTTTAATTCACCTCCTCAAGGCCGAGAAGGCCACTACAGACGAGGAGGCTACTTATTTGTGGCTATAACCCTCTCTCAACTCTATAACTCCGAAACACGAACCTTGACGAACAAGGCCGCTGCGCGGAGAAACGAGTTGAGCGCGGTATTACCAGGGACGTGGTGGGGTCGAACTCGGAACCACTCGTTTATGAAGCGAGCGCTCTACCACTACACCACTACCGCATATATATATATATATATATATATATATATATATATATATATATATATATATATATATATATATGTATATATATATATATATATATGTATAAATATATATATATATATATATACATATACATATATACATATATACATATATATATATATATATATATATATATATATATATATATATATATATATATATATATATATATATATATATATATATATATATATATATATGTATATAAATATATATATATATATATATATATGTATATATATATATATATATATATATATATATATATATATATATATATATATATATATACATATACATATATACATATATACATATATACATATATACATATATAACTTATACTGCTGAGTTAGGTGAGCATGATGATGTCATATTCACCTAATGTCAAATAGCCTGCTGCCGGGTGGCTTCAGTACATACATCGACTGACAAATAGCCTGACTCGCCGTGGAGTGCTGCTACATCGACTGAGGGTTTGGTATGGGTCAGCTTTTCATTCATTATTCTTCGTTTTCCCTCATCGTTTTCTAAAAACGCTCACTTAAATTAGGCTAGCAAAAAAAGTGAGCAATTGCGCATATAAATATGCTATAGTATATATATATATATATATATATATATATATATATATATATATATATATATATATATATATATATATATATATATATATATATATATATATATATATATATATATATATATATATATATATAAATATATATATATATATATATATATATATATATATATATATATATATATATATATATATATATATATATATATATATATATATATATATATATATATATATATTATCATCATATGCAATACTCAGATTCTTAAACTGAATTTATTAATAATGATACCTGTATGAGATCCTGAGAAATGCAAATCATTATTGATCAACTTAATATGTTTTACTTCAAATGTTACAGAATTAAGGGTTTTTTAAAAAATCTTTGATAAATTTAATTAAGAAAAAGATAACTCAGATGACTTAATTATTAGCAACAATAAAAAAATATTTCACTATAAAGGAATTATTTAAATGTTTAATTTAACAGTAACTAGTTTATTTTAAAATTTTTAAAATGTAATATGTGATAAAATAGAAAAAATCCTAATTTAAAAAAATGTATTTTCATTAGGTTTCAAAGTAAAATCTAAAATATATAAACAGCTTGTCGTTTCAATAGTGTCATTTATTTCAATTGTCTTAAAGTATAAACATTTATTTTATATTTAAAAAAAATGTTCATTAACAATAGGAGTCGTTACTTAAAAGCAATATCAGTACTATTGTCGTGGAGTAAGTTGGTCGCTCTTAGAGATTTTTGAAAATTAAAGAATTAAAAACAGTTTTTTTTTAAAGAGTAAAAGCCAATTTTAAATATTATTTTTTCATCATGTAAATAATAAAAACATTTAAAAAAAACCCCAAACATTTAGGTTCTTTCACTAAGATTAAACATTAGACAAATTCAAAATTAAAATGGGCTTTAACTAAGCATCTTACTTCAAAACTTTAAATGAAAAAACAAGATTTAGTATCAACACACATACAGTGAGTCCAAAAATTATTGGCCCACCTTTGCATAACTACTTTATTTTTGCTGGCATATAAGAACTATAGGAGAGAATTACTAAGTGTTAGTATCATCGTGTCGTCTGTTATCACTAGTATATATACAACAAGTTTCAGCTTTTCAATTACTTTCGTTCTTGTTTTATTGAGAAAACATAAGTTTGTTCAAATATTATGTACAAAAATTATTGACCCAGAGAAAAGAAAAAATTTTTGTCCATCGCAAAACAGGTATTTCATCGAATCTAGTATCGTGTTGGGTAACCTTTCATCTTGATGCATTCTTGTAATCTACTTGGTACTGAATCAACAAGTTTCTGGAGAACAGACAACTCGACGTTATTCCATTTGTTCTTCAAGAGGTCTCCAGGTTTGTAGATATTTTTCGGCTTGTGTTTCTTCATCCTCCGGTCGATCTCATCCCATAGATGTTCTATGGGATTGAGATCAGGCGAGGATGAAGGTCAAGCTAATCTTTGAATATTGTTTTGTTTGAGCCAATCCTTGACTAGACCTGATGTATGCTTGGGATCATTATCGTGGACGAAAAAAAGTTCTTGTCCAAAATTAAATTTTTGGATCAATGGTAACAAATGCTGCTCTAAGATGTCACGATAATAAAATTGGTCCATTGTATGGTCCAAAATACATAATTCACCAATTCCTTTTCGCGTGAAACAACCCCAAACGGTAACAGAACCACCACCATGCTTGACCGTAGCCACAGTACAATGTGGATCGAATTCTTCCTTGGGTGTTCTCCATACCATTACTTTTCCATCAGACCCGAACAAATTAAATTTTGATTCATTTCAAATTTCGAGTAATTGAAAAGCTGAAACTTGTTGTATATATACTAGTGATAACAGACGACACAATGATACTAACACTTAGTAATTCTCTCCTATAGTTCTTATATGCCAGCAAAAATAAAGTAGTTATGCAAGGGTGGGCCAATAATTTTTGGATTCACTGTATATTATTAAATAAAGGGGTTACCATAAAACATAGAAACAAGGTCAGAAATTTTTTGCCAACCTTAAGCATTTTTTGGTCAGCAAGTTACACAGAAATAGGTTTGCTACTGTTTTGAATGATTGGGACTAAGATAAACATAGCTAATTTGAAAAGTGTTTATTTGAAGTTAATAAATTAAATAAATCCAAATCTCATATAAAATGCTGTCTTCTAATATTTTGGTTTTAAAATTTTAGACTGTAATACACATACAAAATGCTGTCATTTAATATTTTGATTTTTAAATTTTAGACTGTAATATGCAACACTGCTATTGATAATCCATGCAGCATTACCAAGTCTGATTTGGTTAATGGAATGTTAAGATATTTTCAAACTGATACCATATGGTATTTTTAGTATTTTTTTAAAATATTTTTTAAAACCATTTATTCTTACATTGTTCATTAAGCCTAAGTCATATTAGGATTTGTATCAAAAAAAGAGCTGCAAAAAAAGCTTATATAAGCAAGACAAACAAGAGATCTTTGGTTTTAACTTTTCTTTCTTACCATGTCATTACTTGGATCTTTACTGCAGTTACTATTATATACCATCAGCATGTTTTTAAAGTTATAAGGTAATTTATAAATAAAAGAAAGTTTGATTTTATAAGTTTAAAATATTTTTAGTGCATTAGCAGACCAGCCTGAAGAGCTGGTTGAACTTCAGGCAAGAGAATGGGTTCCTATAATCAATTGGTTTTCAAAATGGTTAGTTTTTTTTTATACAACTCAAAGTTATAAAATATGTTTTAACAGATATTCTTTAATGTTTTTTTAACAAATTAATTTTTCTTATTTTGTCACTTAAACCTAATGTTATTCTTATATATAGAGTTTAAAGTTGCTTCTAACAATTAAGAATAGTTGCAGCAAAAATAACATTTCAGACATTTTTTTATTTAATACAATTTAAAAAGTTCAAGTTAAAAGTTTGTTCGAATATTTATATGTATGTTATAATAAAGAGTTTAAACTTTTACTCTCTCTAAACCTTTATTTCAAAACCACCACGTTCCTGACAGTATAGTGGCCATCTTGTTTTTTCTAGCTGTGGCCATGTTCTTCTAGGTTTTTTTTAGAATTAATGTTTTTTTTTTTTTTTTGAATTAATTGGTGGAATGAGTGATTTTAAAAACAAAACAAAACAACAATAACAACTTAGTAGCTTTTTTGGCTATGTTTTAGGGAGATGAACTTATAATATAAATAATATGAATTTATATTTTAAATTTAAGTGTTGTTACACCCTAGACTATTACAGTTTTAGCTTGTAAATTATTTTATTTTAGGCATGGAATATCGGTTGTTTCCACCTCAAGTTTATTTGAGTTAAAACAACCTGACTTATCAATTTCTAAGCTGAAAGATCATCTGATGAATTTAAATCGTTGGCAAATTTATGGTAATGATGCATTTTTAATTAATTTTAGTTTTAGTTATAAGGAAATAGGGAGCAGTAGTCTAAATATTGTTTAAATATTTCATGCTCCACAATATGTTAAAATTTTTTGCATCTGTACTGAAGGTTATAAAGAATCAGAAAATTTAAATATATATTTTTGAAAATGATAAATTTAGTTTATCATTCAAAGTCTTTGTTTAACTATAAAAATAAAATTAAACAAAAAAAATTAGGGTGGCAAATGCAATAAAAAAAAGTTTAGTAGAACTAGCACTTGAAAATTTTTTCTTACTTTACATGTTATTACTGCTCTGACTTTTTAAAAAGCTTTTGATAAAGTCTGCCATGTTGGTCTTCTCCATAAGCCCTCACTGAAAGCATTTAGAGAAACCTCTTTTTTATGTCTTCTTGGATTTTTGTAAATAGAGACACTTTTTTTTTCATGACAAAAAGTCATCACTTTCTAGTTATTTAGAACAGGAGGCTGATTTTGAATGTCTCTTTGGCTTGCAGTGGCTGCTGATTTTTAATCCAACAAAACTTATTTGTTTCAACACTCTTACTTCATTTTTTATGTCTTCTCAGATTACCCTTTATTGCTGACCTCTAATAGAAACCTATTTCAAAGTTAGCATTTGCTAAGGTTTTATTGTGCTTGTCATTTTTTTTTCTTATTTTTATTTTTTACCTCTATAAATCTTTTATTTGTTTTTGTATGGAATGCTGTTGTCATATTTCATCAAGTTCTCTTTTTTAGAGATCTAAGGGTCTAAAAATACGAAAAAATGTTGTTGTTGGACTCTAACTGCAAAGCTTGAGCCATTGTCCAATAACTTATTTAAAAATGCTACCTTTTAACTTTTTTAAAAATGCTACCTTGGTTGCTGCTTCAAGGAAACTGTTATCACTTGTATTAAGCAAAACTCAATCTCACTTAACTCAATAAGTAAGATTACAAGTCAGCATTCATTTAGTTTTTTCCCACAAACAATTGTGCTAAAGAATTATCTCAGATTTTCATATTTTCCAGGCTCATACTATTTACAGTTTTTTAGGTCTTCTGTCAACTTCCTGTTTGCTTTTTAAATTTTTCTTTTGCGTTTTGTTAACTCTCAAAATAATTAGTTGTTGCTTGTAACATTCATATGAGTTTTTTATAGGAATTTTCATAGGAATTCATTCATAGGAATTTTTAATTTAACATAATATATTATAAAAATAGAAAAAAAAGTATATAATATAATAATTTTAAAGCATAAAATTTTTAATGTAAGACAAATAAGTAAAAGATTTATAAATATCTGGAACGTAAGTTTCTTTTCAAGGTTTTTCAATATAAATTGATTAAAAAGATATACGATTGTTTTTGTTAAATAGGCAAAGAAAGTCTTTTTTTGATAAAGTCAAAATAACAATTTTGGCAATATTCTACCAATAAACCATCATTTAATTTTTTTAAACTTTCGTATAGATCTTTAGCTAAAGGTGTAGGAAGTGTAGTCAGTTTTTGATTTAGCTCTATATATTCATTTTTGATTAGATTTAAATCTGGCAATTTAGCTGGCGACTAGTTTACCTTCAGGGCTGGAAATAATGCAAAAAAATAAAATCTATTCGCAAATTATTTTTTTTTAACATGTGTTTTTTTAAAAAGTACTGAATTTTTATCGTAAAAAGCTAGAAAACAACAATAAAAACTGCAAAGTTATTTTGACAATATAAAGCGCTTGTGTTAATGCAAAACAACTTTGTGACACTGTTTAATTGCTGTTTTATACAGTTTATAACAATAACATAAAAAGTGTTTAAAATAAAACAAAGTAAATAAATAGAATCGTTTTAATTAATAAATTAAAACATTATCGTCATCAAACTTTAAACATATTTGCGCAAAAAACATGTTTAAAGACCATAGGCGTCTATAATCTATAGACCAAACAAGTAAGATCAAAACAAAAAACATTAGATATCATTTTTTTCATAATTTATTTTTTTGATCTAGCATACTATTTAAAATTTAAGTCCAATTAATTTTTTCATTCTAATGATTTTTAAGTTGATGTTTTCATTCAATTTTTTCATTCAAATTGTTTTGCAATAAAAAGTGAAAGAAAAAATTTTTTTGAACAAGTAAAATAGTTCTTTTTTTTTATTATTTATTTATTTTTATATTATTTATTTTTATTATTATTTAAATTTATTATTATTTAAATTTTTTATAATTTTAATTTTTGGTTTAACCCTTACAATAATCATTGGTTTAATGTTGGCAATAGAATTTCTACTTTTAAAACTATTTTCAAGAAACAAAAAGTAATTTACTATTCAAAATGTTTACGATTTAAATAAAACTTTTTTTGTCACTTGCACTGAATCTGATATTGTTACTGAGTTTAACTTTCAGGAACTCACTATGCTACTGAGCATTACAGATGTTGCTGCAATAAAATTTATAATTATTGAGCGTTAAATTTCTTTTAAATTTTTCCAATTTTTTTTTTTAACTCAAATTTCAATTTTAAAATTATTTAAATAAGAGAATTTTAAAAGACTAAAATTTTTATGTTCAAAAAGATTTCTTTTTATAAAAAATCCTTAAAAGCAACTTGCGTATTCATAAAAAATATTTGATCTTAATATCGCTTTAAATAAAATAAAAATATAAAATCTGGTATCGCATTTTTCATATTCTATTCGAGATTTTTTGTTAAATTAATTTTCAGTTAGAAGCTTATATTATGTGTTAACAACATATAAGATATAAATAGAAACATTTGTATATCTAACTTTAGCGAGTCTTTGAGTATATTAAGTAAATTTAATAGTTGAGTAATTGTAAGTTACTGTAGTAACTTATCTGGTTAGTAAATTGGTAAAATGGTAAATTTACTGCAATGTACTTTTTTTTTTTTTGTATCCATTCAGTAAATCAAACTAAATAAAACTTTAAAATATTATTTAAAGTAATTTAAATTCAAAAGTTCTTTATGTTGAATAAAAATGTCCAGGCAAGATAGCAAATAATCACACTTTAATTCAACAGATAAATTTAACATGATGTACTTATGACACCTTATAATCCTAATGAAAAACTTAGACAAAAGCCTTACTTTTAAGAACAACCAAAAAAATGCTCAAATAGAAAATAAATAAAAAATTAACAAAAAGATAAAAAAATAAATGGTGTGAAAAACAATTGCAATCACGATACACTTAATTAATAACTTAATTAAATAAGCCCTGACCTTGATTTTTTTGTTTAAATCAAACTGTTACTGTTCTTGCTTTGTAGCAAGAAGCATTATCTTGCTGAAAGGTCCATTTATGTTCATCAAAAAATAGATCTCTTGTTAGAGTGAAATAATTTTCAAGCAACTTTTTGTATCTGTATTAATCCATTCTACCAGTAACAAGTATCATAGTGTTATACAACTTTGCCTTGAACCGTAAAACAGTAAAACTTCTTTTCATGGAGTCTTCAAAAAATTATTTTTGTTTTTCTATTTAAAATAGTTACTTAATACATTTTCTTAAATTGCATTATCAGTTATCCTAAGAATGTTCCTGCAAAATTGTAGTCATTTGAGTTGACCTGATTATTCAAGCATAGGTTCTTTTGAAGCAATGTGTATAGTTTAGGAACAATTAATTTTTACTGTCTGTTTTGAGATTTAAAAAAAAATAGATTTATTTGATTTATTTGTTTTGCATTTTACTATTTTTTTCCTGGCAATTCTGTATATATTATTTTTATCAGTAATTCTTTTGGGTCTCCCTAATCTGATTTAGTTTAATGTGCTACCTTTTTTTTTTTGTACTTGTTTAATGTTTTGGTGACATGACTGCAATTTGTTCTTAAGAATTGAAATGAGTTTTTCTTGCAGAATTACTAGCTAATAGGTTTAAACTAATATTTTTTTTCTTTGATCTTATTGTAAACTGATTTGTTACCCATTTTTAAGTGTTTTAATGACAAAATTTAATAAAAAGTTTTGTTTAGCGTGTACTAACAGTAAGTATAATAATTTTTTTAATGGATTTAAACATTGTACTTTACAGATATACTTTATTTAATAATAAAAAAGCATTTCTAAACATAATTAGAAATAAAGATAGAAAAAAAGTCTAAGTTTATAAGACACATTTTAAGGTGTTCAAATATGTTGCTATTATTAAAAAAAACAAAAACAAAAAAAAACAATACCGTAGTACTTTGGCCAGCAGGGTTCCTTTGGCCATTTTTAAAAGGTTTAATTAAACATCTGTAACTTTTAAACAGTTAAGTAACGTTTTACTATTTAAAATAGTAAAACGTTACTTAATATCGTTACGGTAATATCCCACTTGAACAAAGTTTCTTCAAGATATTACTGTATTTATAAATACTAGCAGTAAGCAACCAATAATTCAGGTTATTAATAATTAAATCATTAATAACAATATAAAAGCATTAATAACTTGATATAATATCTGAAAAAAAACTTATTTAAATACAAATTTATCGATAAATAATATTTTAAGTTTGACTTCTTATCAGCAATGTTATTGCTTATAGTTAATGACATAATAACTGCATTAATAGTCAATTAAAGCCTGCCATTACCTAAAAAAAGAAATTAAATAAAATTATAATTTTCAATAACCAAATTAATTTTAAATAATGGATTAAGTACATTAGTAGAATTAGGATAATAAAATAACAGAAAATATAAAGAATAAAAAAATAGCTATAACAGCCTAGTTCTATCAACACAAAGTAGCAATAGCGCATAGCATAAGATATTTGTAAGCAAACATTACTATGTGTCTCTATAATAATTAAATAAGAAAAGATTATAAAAAGGCTAGACAACACAACGTAATAACACTGACAAATAAAACCACAACTTAATAAGATATTTTATTAAAATACTTGAACTAAAAAGATTTTATTTATTACAATATTTGAACAATCGAGGTACAATTATAGGTAAACAATTTTAACAATTATATCATAAAATAGCGAGGAACTTGTAAAATATTTCTTACCTATGGTTGTTATCAATTGTGGTATTAAGAAATACGTAAGATAAATATGAAATAAAAAAGAGCTCAGTAATTACAAAAGTTTTATAATATTAAATTTAAAAAAAAAAAACAATTTTAAACTAGATTTTCTTTAGTTTTAAATTTTTTACCTTTTGTAACAAACACAGCACTTGGCAAAGATCCATCATCTAAATGAATTCAAAAAGTAATATCGTTACGGTACTCCCTGTACTAATTCTTATTGAAGTCTTATTTAAAAAAGTGAGAGGGAGAGAAAAAAAGTGTTTCCAAGCAGCATGTTAAAAAAAAAGTAAAAAAGACACAAAATTAATAATTGTAACTGGTTTTATTATATTACCAGTAAAAAAAAATATTTTTACCTTAACTAAAAGTTAATTTCCAGCTTCTCTCTAACTGATATCTGATGATTAATAGAGTAAATTTCACATCATATTAAATTTACAAAATTAAAACCACGTTTCCTTACCCCTATTTTTCTTCTAAAAAATAAAATATAAGCTCAATAAAAACAAAACTGCTAAAAAAGAAACTAAAAGCTAAAAGATTTTTTTTTTAAACAAACAAAATGTAAACGATTTAAAAAATTTAAAGGAGTGATCCTTTCTACTTTATATCTAATAAAAATGTTATATATAAGATGCTAAACTATTTTCTATACTTATTTCAATTATTATATGATTTTAATGATGATTATTTATCTTGATATGATTCTTTATATAATATTTCTAAACTAATAAATAACATTTAAGTTCCAAAAGGTAAAAGGTTTTAACTTGTTTGATAGATCTTTCTCAAATGACCGTGTGGATTTTTAGAACACGCTCTTTCAAATCCATAAATGCCTAGTAACTAATCAAAACTACTTTAAAAACGAAAGCGAAACGTTGAACGTTGACTCTTATTAACATTGAGCAATTATATTAAGGTTAAAAAAGGAAATAATTACCAATTTATTAGAAAGTTCTGCAAAAGGTTAAATATGTAAATAGTAAACTGTTAGTATAAAAAGTTCTTGCATTGTTTAGTGTAATAGTATAATTAATAGCATTATTGTTTATATAAAATGTATTTTTACTTCAAGTTCTTCATTTTCTTCTGCATTATTACCATAGTCGATTCTGCATTATCCCCATAGTTGGTACAAATATTACTATGGCACCTGCATCATGATATTCATATTGAATATGGGCATAGTTAAAAAAACTAGTTAGAACCATACTTAAGCATCCTTACCTGATAAAAGATTTATTTACTAGGGTTATTGTTTTGCTTATTAACCTGTTTGTCTCAAATGTACTCGATAGAGGCCATCTTTATTTGTATAGATAACATGCCAGATTTGTTCAATGCTTTATAAATTTAGCTCATAAATGTTGACATCAGAAGCTCAAGATCCAAAAAATTAAAATGCTTTTGCAGGGTCTGCTGCTCATTCCAAAACTTGTGAGATAAATCTTTTTTTGTTGTTGATATTTTTGTTTTGTTGAGGTTTGTTGTGAGCAACTGTTGGTTGTGTTGGCCTTTTTAATTGATGTTTTGACAATGGCCTTGTTAATGAAGGCTGTTCATTACAAATGTTGTGATTCAACTGTATTAATTGGTTTTTTTTTTTCTTAGTGCTTATGACCTATTTCAATTAATTTATTATTCATTTTCTTTATTTTTTTAATTTATTATTTAACTGTTATATAGCATTTAATGAAAATAATTGTACACTTCTATATTACCAAGTTGTTTAGCATATATGTCAAATACTTTTTTAAAAATTTTTGATATATAAATAAAATGAATTGTTTATAATAATTTACGAATAATTTTATTTTTGTTTTATTTAATTTAAGGTCTTCAGTCTGCAATGGAGATTACAAAATCTTTTATTCTTCCCATGGTTGTCTCTCAAAAATATATCAGTGTTGAAAAAGCTGTATACCTATCAAGATTAGAAGTTGAACACCAGGTACTCTTTTTTGAAATTGGATCATCAGTTTCTTATTTTTTATATTTCAAAAATTTTAACTAAAGCAAAAATATTTGTTTTGTTAGATAACTAAATGGGGAAATGTAGAATTTGCTCATGAATTAGAAAAGCAGAATCAAACTATATTTCTTGCAGCTGGAATACTATTTTATCATTTTACAGCTGGGATACATGATTCGTTTGAATGGAATAATAAAATTTCATAAAATTATTTATTCCACACAACGTGGTCAACAACAGAAACTTATTGAGGATATGTTTACAGTTATGTATGCTGAAAATACAGATACAAGATATTGCTGATGGCAACATAGCTGATAGCAAGATAGCTGATGGAGGAATTTCTTAATCATTTATGAATAGATGTTTTCTAGTTATTTTAATAGATTTTCTTAATACCAAAAATAATAAAAAAACATTTAAATTTTTAAAAATTTTTTAATTTAATAAAGCTTTGTATCACATTTTTATGATTATGTGTACTTTTCTGCCATATTTATTTGCATAACTAAAAATTATAGTTTAATAAATAATTACTTTTCATTTATTTTTATACACGCTTTCTTTAAAATTATGCAATTCATAAAGTGTGTAAATTTTAAAAATTCAAATTTTGTATTAAACTTGTTATAGAAATAGTTTTTAAATTTAGTTCCTACTTTATTTAAAAATAATTAAAAATCAATGGATTCGTGATCAATGGATTATGGAATAGATAATAATGCAAGTTCCTGATACTGCATCTCCGATTAGTTTTGGTAAAAACAAAAGGATTTGTAAATTACTCATTAATTCTTTGTAATTATAGTGTAAGCTTTTATAAATATTTCTTTTTAGTAATTGCAGTATTTGCATGTTTGAAATAAAAAAGTAGATTTAAATGGACAAAGCTATAAAAAGAAAGATTTTTATATCTAAAATACTTTGTTACTATATTTCAAGTTTATTTTTGTTAAAGCTCATGCACCTGTAAGTCGCACACTATTAATAACCTATGGAGTTTCGTCAGCCACTGCCTCACTTTTACTTTCCAAATATCATTCTGAGTTTACTCTCAATTGGAGAAATGTTGTTGAGCATAAACAGGTTGTTTGAATTTTACTTAATAATGATGATGATGATCATTAGCTTCATTATCAACCTTATCATTGTTGTTATTTTATAACATAATCATTAGTGTCATCATCATTATCATCATTATTATTATTTTATATCATTATTATTAGCATCAAACATCTGAACTAAAATATGTTTGTTTAGGTTTGGAGAATAATAACATCACAATTTATTTGTGATAGTTATTTTGATTCTATATGCACTTGTGTTATGGTTTATAATCTTTTGGTGCTTGAAAGGAGATGGGGAACAAGAAAGTACCTTGTAAGAATACTCTTATAAATTTAGAAACAGTTGTGTTAAGTTTTTGTTTTTATTCACTATCAGACTTAAAGTTAGATTTTATTAGGTCCTTATTTTTATTTGATAATTATTTTGCCAAAGCACAGATTGCCACAGTACAAAATTACTTTTTGTTTTACTTTTTGATGCATTACATCTTAAGGTTTAATTTAAAGATGATTTATATCAGCCAAACCAACCAAAATATTAATGATATTTTAGATCAGGATTATTTTTCATACTGGTATTTTGATAAGTCATTTAACTTGAATTTTTTCAGCAAGATGAAACTAACTTGAAACAAATAAATAGAATGACTTTACATTTCATTTATTTGTTTTAACAACAATTAATCAACTTTTATATATGATGACAGTTATTATTTTTCTTTCTTTACTACAGATCGGAAAATAAATTGCAATTTAATAGCATTTGGCAACAACATAAAGTTTCAGAAGCTTTAGATCTGTACTGAAATTGATCTATCTGTAGTACTTATCATAGTATTGGTTTCAACAAAAATTTAAAATAAATAAATGTATATATATGTATATATATTTTTATTCAAAGAAAGAAAAAAAAAATACATAGACCCATCTCTCCCTAGACTTCTCTCTGTAAATTTATGATAAAAGACTTGCATGATTAAGTAAATTTTTCATTTTTTAACCTTCAATGTTAGCATACAAATTTGACTGTAATGTATAATTTTTTAACTTTTAATGTAAGCGTACAAATTTGAGTGTATTGTATAATTTTTTAATGTTCAATATTAGCGTACAAATTTGAGTATGCTTTATAATTTTTTAACTTGCAATGTTAGCGTACAAATTGGACTGTAATATATAATTTTTTTAACATTCAATTTTAGCGTACAAATTTGAGTGTAACGTATAGTTTTTTAACTTTTAATGTTAGCGCACAAATTTGAGTGTAACGTATAATTTTTTAACTTTCAATGTTAGTGTACAAATTTCAATGTTAGTGTACAAATTTCAATGTTAGTGTACAAATTTAAGTATACTGTATAATATTTTAGTTTACAGTCACAATCAATAGTTTAGAACATTTTAAAAATTTGTAGAAAGTTTAAAATATTTGTTAAATTTTTTTTTATTCAAAATTTTGATTAATTAATATTATATACAGAGATATTTTACGTTTTAAGCCACAAAATTTGCTTTAGTCATAGTTTGTTGTTATTTTAGCAAAAAATTAATATATTAGTTATTGGAAAACTTATGAGTTAACAACAGAAAAATATGCTCAGATTGCTGTTCTATGTGAACAAGTATTGACATTATGTAAAAGCATATACGTTTGCCAGTGCTTCTAAAGTTTTGCCTCAAATAAATTCCACTGGTCAAAAGAAGCAACTTTAAGTTTTAAACCAATTCTTTATAAGTCATTCAACATTACACATAAAGAGATCATAAAAGGAGATAATCATTGGTTCATCAATAAAAGAACATGATTGTCTCAATTTAAAAAACATCTTGTTTAAAACAGTTGTGTCATTTTTAAAAACAAAAATGTAGTTAATGCATTTGATTTTAACTAATATTTAAAGCGATATATTCAAATTGAAAGCATAATTTTGTTCACATCGCCTCACTATTGTAGTGATATAGTTAAGATGGTTTTGAAAAAAATTTAAGTATTTTACTTGGTGCAAATCTTATTGTTATAATATGATAAAGATTATTTTAGTTTCTTAAAAATTTATTAAAAGACTGTTATTTCTATCCTACTTTTTCTGTTGATATTTCTTTAAATTTTTTTATTAGACTTGTAGATTTTTTTTATTATTGTTATTGTTGTTATAATTTTTTATTATTCTTTTTAAGTTTTTATAATTTTTTTTTTCTATTTTCAAGTTTCTTAGCCTATTTAAAATATCCTTAAAAAATTTGGTGTGTTAATGATTTAAAAATATATATTTTTTAATATTAAACCATGATAATATTAATTTAATATTAAAAAATATATATTTTTAAATCATAGCTTTTATTTTTATAATTTTTATAAATCGAACAATTTTCATAAAAATCATATTAAAAATGAATAAAAATACTATAAAAAGAAAAGGATAATACTAACTATAAAATATTAATATGCAATGAAAATATAACTATGAAATAGTATAATGTATCATTTTTTTAATTTATTATTGTTAATTTAGTCATGGCTTCTTTCAATGTGGTTTATGTCTCTTGGATTAAACTTTATTTTATATAAACTGGCATTTAATAACATTGATATTGCTCCATGTGGACTGTATCTTTTTATTTTTCCATGTTTAAAATATTTGTATATTTTTTTATTTGTCTAAACTTTATATTAAAATGTAACAACTTTATTGACAGAAATTATATATATGAATGTGTATGTGTGTGTATGTGTGTGTATATATGTGTGTATGTGTGTGATATGTGTGTGTATGTGTGTGATATATATGTGTATGTGTGTGATATATATGTGTGTATGTGTGTGTATGTGTATATATGTGTGTGTATGTGTGTGATATATATGTGTATGTATATGTGTGATATATGTGTGTGTATGTGTATGTATATATGTGTGTGTATGTGTGTGTATATGTGTGTGTATATATGTGTGTATGTGTGTGATATATGTGTGTATATGTGTGATATATATGTGCGTGTATGTGTGTGATATATATGTTAAGCACAAATGTTAAAATTGCTTATTTCATGAAATGTACAATTTTTTGCTATATATATATATATATAGTCAGTTAATGTAAGTAGATTGAATATATATTGTTTATAATAAGTATAACTATTTGAAAACAACAACAGTTCAATGTCATATAATCCACACAATAACACTATCCAGTTCACAAAATGAGCAAAAAATTGCATTTTTTAAATCCAAAATTTCATTTAAGTTCAAACCTTCACTTCACTCATCACAGCTCAGAAATTTAAGGTTTAAGTTTACTATCAGAGTACCCCAAAAATGTTAATATTTATAGTAAGTGGGGCATCTGGACACTTCATTTTCATATTTAGAAAAATCTAGGAGGTATCACATTTTTAGGAAATTGAGATAATGATAAATCATTTTAAAATTGTTTATACTAATGTATTTTTATTGTCTTTTTGAATGAATTTACATATGTTTTTAACTTAGATTAAAAAAATTTACTATAAATATGTTTATCAATAACTTAGTTTCAAATACAAAGAACACAGTGATTACCTCTCTGCAATAGTCTTACGCATCTTTATAACTTTGTGTAAAACTCTCAATTAAAATTGAATAGTTTGGGTCAAGTTTATAGCCAAAGACACCATGAACAAACCTTATTAATCTTTCTCATTGTTTCCAAGAGAGGATACAGTTTAACAGGCATCAACTCAAGTTTGTTGGCAGTCTCTTCATGTGTTTCTCTCTTCATGTGTCTCTTTCTTCATGTGCTTCAAGTCTCTCTCTTCATGTGTTTCCTTCAAATGTTCCTCCATGGTAATCTTTTGTGAAGGCATTCAATGCTCTTGACCTAATCTATAAAGAGACCAAAACTGCATTATAAATTCTGCCACATGGTTAACAAATCCCATCAGAAGATGAAGTTCTGGTAATGGAACTTCTCTTATTAAACTTAGGGATTTGTGATCTTGAACAGACAAGGATTAATGACTAATATATGGAAACAATATTTTTTTTTTTTAAATGATAAATTTGTGATGAATGATATATTTTTAAAATATTTACAATATACCTATTTATTTATACCTTATATTCCTTCATTTTTTTCACAGATCCCGCAGACAAATATGGTTCATAGTATTCATACAAAATATGATAACATCATACAGTTCATAGCAATCATTCAAAGATTGAAATGTTCTAAACTCTCAGGTAGTTCAGAAGAACCTTTACACCATGCACAGACATTCTTTCCTACATAAGCCTAGAATTTAATATAATAATTCAATTTATAAATATATGTTGGGTAAAAAAAACCTTTTCCTAGTATAGTGTTTACCTTATATTTCTTATCTTAAATTTATTTAAAAACAACATACCGAAATTCCTAGTAATATGTTGAATAACTTCATGTCAGAAGCCAATGAGTAGTTGCGTTTATGCAACTTCAATCTTTTCACTATCCTTGTCATGTTAGAGATTACCCTTTCAAAATAAGCTAAAACAAGTGACGTATTTCCTCCTGACTATGATCCTATGGAGCTGCTATCTTCTGCCCTGTCCTTGGTTGGATCAAACAGATTTACTTTTACTTTCAATGATCCTTTGCCTATAAATATATATCTATATACATACAGACATACATATTTGTATATAAATATGTAAAAATAATATTTTCAAAAATATGTTTTCAAAAAGTTGATTATTAAAATGTAAATATAAATACCTGAATCTATTGCAAATATGTTTTGTGGAACCTGCCCTTGATATTTCATTACAAAATCCAGAAATGTTGTAATATCTTCAATATATCTCAATATATCAATAAGTCTCTCTTCACAGCAAGATTAAGTATTTAATTAATTAAAATATATAAATATTAAATCTCTCAGTAACAGCAGATGATCTTTTGAAAATGTGCATGATCTCCTTTAAAATGATATTCTTTACTCTCCTTTGAGAGCAGAGAAACTGTAGATTTAATATATTAGGTATCTATAATAATATATGAATATCTATATTACAATATAGGTATAGGTACCTATAATAATAATTATTATTATTATTATAGGTAATTAGCATATTTAAAAAATAATTATTTTTATTACAAAATGTTTTTTTGACCAACTTTGAGTATTCTAATGATATTTATGTATAAATTTTAGGATAAAGACCTTGGAAAGTTGATAAATGAATATTTTTTTTGTATAAATATTAGATTAAAGACCTTGAAAGGTTGGTATATGAATATTTTTAAAAATAAACTTAAGTTTTCTGTCAGTATATTTAGTTTTTTTAGATATAAAAAAAATGACTTTTTAGCAAATTTTCAAGGTCAATTTTCTAAAAATGTGATACCTCCCAGATTTTTCTAAATATGAAAATGAAGTGTCCAGATGCCCCACGTACTGTAATTATTACAGTACTATTTTTGGGGTACTCCAATAGTAAACTTAATCCTTAAATTTCTGAGCTGTGTCGTACTTCTTAATAAAACTTGTTTTTGATAGCATATAACATACTAATAAATAAGTGAGATGAATTTGTGATTCTCCAAAAATTAAATTTTACTTTAACTGTTTGTCAGTTATGGTCCAATCTTTGCCTTGCTAGTATTTTATCATAAGGAAATACCTAGCGGTAGTCAGAAAAACACATTTGGTTTTTTGTTTACTCGAAAAATGTTTACTTATTCTCTTGCATTACAGGTAGGCACTAATTTTTTTTGCTTTATTTAATTTGATTGCATCATCTAATTGATGCTTTTTTTTCATTCTATTATGTATTTTACTTATTTTACCCTAGCCCTAGCTCTGAACTGTCTAGAATTAGTATTGTGATTAAGTAGAAATGATTTTAATTTCCAATTTAACTTTTTATCTTTAAAAAATTAAAGTAGTAATTCTAATATTTAATTAATTCAAGTAATTCAATATTTTTAGTAATTCTAGTTTATTTAAGTTAAATTTAAGTTAAATAAAGTTTATATAAAAAAACAATTTTAGGTTAATATTAGATAAACTAGCTGGGGTGACCCGTAAAATACGGGTCTTTACCGAACCGACCATTTTTATACTTATCTATAGCTATCCGGACGTAAACTAAGGGTCTTAGTAAATCTATTCCACACCGACCTTTTCTATACTTATTCCTTACCTCAATATTTTTTTAAAACCGTTTAAAAATGTACATATAAAAAACTATACTTACTTTTTGATATGACAAAAACATTTCTGTTAAAACTTCAAACGATTTTAATATTATGCCGATTATAAAAATTTTAATAAGAAAAAACGTAAAAAAGACTACGAACTTAGAAAAATGCTAAAACATTCAACACGTGACGCCGTTAAAGTACGCCTTAGTTAACGTTCATAACATATACACATCTAATTAGATTTTATTTAAACTCAGTTGTTGCAAACTTGGTTTTGAATTTTTAATTACACTTCTTATGCGTCATAAATAATCTTAAATTCTAAATAGAAAATACGTTTATGGGCTAATTGGTAGACGCGCAACACTTAGACAGATATAGTCATCTTACCCCGGGAGTTCATACTCCAGTGACTTTTTTTTTCATCCCAACTTACAACAAAAGTAATTAAAAATAAATGTTATTATTGAAACAGTTTTAAACATTTCTTTCTATTTATCTTTGAACTTAACTTTATTCACTGCAAACATACTTTTGGTGTTTGTAAGCGTTATTTTACGTTTAGTGTTTGTAGGAATTATTTGCACGCACGTATTTTAAACAATTATTTTTACTGTTTCATCTAAAAATCTTATTTAATTTAGTTTAATAATTTCTTAAATATAATATATATAATATAATTTAAAATATTTTATTAACCATATTTAAATAAGTATCAAAACTCTTTCCTTTAATTTAAAAAGAATTTAAAATTAACGTAGGCTATAACGATATTTTACCCTTTCATCAACATTTATTTAAAAAGTAAATTTGGATATAGAAAAACGGGTTAAAGACTTATTATTTTAAATAAGTTAGGTTTATCTATTTAATGCTTTTCGTAAAAGCGTTTCTTTAAAGACTCTTAACAAATCATTCAAGCTGTTTTTACTGCCTAAGTTATTAAACCTGTTGTGTGTGCCAAAAATCGATACTTAATGCAAATGGAAACTTCGAGTGCTAATGGTGATTAAAGCATAAATGGTTCCTATTCATATATAATAAAAGGAAATATGAAAGACAAAGCAAAAATAATTTTTATATCCATTTAAACCAATAAATCCCAAAATAAAAAAATATAGATATTTACTTAAAAACATATTTTTCTTGATATAAAATAAAAATATAACCTTTAGTACAAATTACAAAAAAAAAAATTTATTCAACAGAGCTACTTATAATACAATTTAAATTGAATCATTGTTTCATAAATATTAAGCTGCTTGGCGGATTTCTTCATCCTCTACTTCTGCCATGTTTTTAAATGCAAGAGCAAATGGGTTTTCTTGATTAATTAATGTTTGCAAGAGTTGCATTAACTCATGTATACAACCATCATTACCAGGTTGTTCCATTCTGAATGACACTGCTGCATTAGGATCATAGATATACAGCTGACAATATTTGGGCAGACAACCTTCTGCAGGCCTTGAATTTCCAACACGATGCAAAATTTGCCCACAGACCCTAAAACAGAAAGGGCCATTATTTGAGGGAGGAGCTATTTCGGCCGTGAAGGAAGCAAAAGATAAAGAGGAATTATAACTCCTTATGTGTTTAAAAAAATTTTGATTTACAGCATGATCAACATGGTTTCCTGTCATTAAACCAGTCAACAATGGCGGATAAAGAGAAAGAGGAGCTAATACAACTTTTCCTGAATGGCAGCACAAAAAATGAGTTTCATTTAAAAACTTCTTTGCACTGCAATACTGACAATTATGGTTTAAATCTCCGAGGTAGTTACTCTCTATAGCAATATTATTTCTTGCTATGCGATGCATATTATACCTATTAAGTTCTCGTCTAGCCTGATTTCTTTCATTTTGATTACAATTTATTTCAGCTCGCCGGGGCTCATCTCTTTCAATTCGACGACTATTTATCTCAGCTCGCCGGGGCTCATCTCTTTTAATTCGACGACGATTTATCTCAGCTCGCCTGGGCTTATCTCTTTCATTTCGACGGCGATTTATCTCAGCTCGCCTAGCCTGCCTTCTTTCATTTTGACGAAGTCTAATAATTTCATTTCTTAAATTATTAGACATAATTAGGCATCAAAGGAGTGTGTAAAAATGATGCCTAATATAATAAAAGTTGAAGTTTCTTTTTTAAACTTATCTAAAATAAAGTGTAAGCAAATAATACAGAGCATAATACTATAATCTATTATATTCTACCATATATAGCATTGTGTTAAGATAACATAGTTTTATTAAAAACTTAAACTAAAGTTATAAATTAATGTAATATTTTCAACTAAGTATTGTTTATATATTTATGGTAGTTGTTATCAATTATTGACAAAATATTATAAGTATTTAATCAAAAAAAAAAACAAAAACAAATGTAATTTAAAAAACAAATTTTTTACATATAAGAACTCATAAATGAAGCAAATTAAAAAAATTTAAGGCCTGTCAACTCAGCAGGTACTGCTAGCATGGAAGGATAAAATGTAATCATCCATCAACAAAACCCTTTCATTACTTTGAAAGACATTTAACGCAAGATTTGCAATAAATAAATGCAAAACTACTAAAAGAACCTCTATAAACAATCATATATTTGCTTCAAGTGAAGAAACTTGGAAATATTGAAACTTCTTTTACTATTTTAATTTTTTTTTAGATATTTAATATTCTAAAGAAAAAGGGACAATAATTTAAGGCAAAAAAATTAAAATGTCTATACATATAATATATGTATAGACATTTTAATTCTATATATTTTATTGTGTGTGTGTGTGTCTATATATATATATATATATATATATATATATATATATATATATATATATATATATATATATATATATATATATATATATATATATATATATTGATGTACATACAAAACATTAAAATAATAATATAAAGAAAACATTCTCTATACAAAAAATCCTAAAAATTTAACAAAAGTTATTAAAACTTATGCTTCAACACGCTGTATACTTGCTTTTATATATATAAAAAAAATTTGAGTTAAACATATTAAATGAAGAAAATCGAAACTCTTAAAAATTTTAATGAGGAGGAGCTGTTAGTAAAGCCTGCTTTTTAACAAAATTTATTTATTGTCAAAAGCATACATTGTTAAGAACAGAGGATAACAACATTAAAACACATTTTTTAAACAATATTTTTTCAACACATTTTAGACATACACTAATTACAAACAGAATTAATTTATGTGTTTTATTATGACAATACACCACTCTGCTGGCGAGGACAATATTTTTGCTCTCAACAAAGCCAGGTCACATTATAGCAAAGTACACCACTTGGCTAGCGAGGTCAACAATCTTGCTGTAAACTAAGCCCAGTCACAACAATTTGAAACCATGCAAACAACATAATTATCACTTACAAACTATAAACATATTACATATAACACACCACAAACATTGAAACATTTCATATATTTACACACTTACAAAATATAAACCCATATAACCTTAACACATATATACACAATAAAACACAATATAAATAACACACATATATAGATAAATATATAAATTAAGAAAAATATATAAATTTGAAACTTTACAAATACAACCTTATTTTTGTTTTTTGAAATACCTCGTAATAAATGTTTAACAACTTTCAAAAACAAACTATCAAACAATCTGGTTTTTTATACGGATTTTTATAACTTCTTTTAAATAAGGTATTAAACGATCTTGTTCTTTAACATGTAACATTGAGTTGACCGTGTGAGATGCAAGTGTTTTAAACACTAACTTTATCAAGAGATTGACCTCTTGACCTTTGAAATGAGCAACGTCTTCTTGAGTCGTCTTTTAATTTAAAAATTAGAGATTAATTTTATAAATTAATAAATTTAAATACAATTGACAAAAGACTAAAATGCATGATTTAAATAAATCACCTGACTTTAAAAGTTACTTTACTAATTCAATAATAACATAATGTTCATTCTTTACTACAGAAGTTATCAAATAAAAATTGTTGATCTTATCACTAATTAAGCTGATGAAACAAAGTTTTTGATCTCATTACTGATTAAGCAGATACTGGCAGATTATTAAGATTTGAAAGAACCCCATTAGGCGAGTTCAGAAGTAAAGCAATTTATGATAAAACTCAAAGGCCAAGTATGGTAAAAAAATCCGTGTAAAGGTGCACGAATGGTGAGCAGCAGCGTTAAGTTAAGTATTAATTATAAGCGATGTGAGATTCTGAGATAAATGTGAAATTTAGTATTCTGAAAATAATGGACCTGAGTACCAGGCAATATCTTTTTGCGATCATAAAATGACGTTTATTAATCAATATTTTTTGAATCTGTGTGTATAAATGTACTTGGACAATTTTATGTACATAATTGTATAGATTAAGTAATGTGTTTTAGATTTTTTTTTATTGTTAATAGTTATAATGAGTATAAAAAATTGGTTGAAATAAATGTACATATTTTTGGTTGAAACAATTGTACATATTTTTGGTTGAAACAAATGTACATATTTTTGATTGAAACAACTGTACATATTTTGTTGAAGCTGCAAGAGGTTATAATGGTATTTATTTAAATTAGGTATTTATGAGTTGAGATGTGGTTGTGGTTTAGATGTGATATGGTTTAGGGTGTTCTTATTTATTAGAGGATCTAATAGATTTTATAACAAAAGCTACTGAAGCTGATGATGAATCTGACAAAATATTTTTGGATTTTGCTTAACTATTTGGTTCTGTATGATTAAAGTTAAACTTGTAAAATTTGTTGGTACATGTTTAGAGCATAATTTTGATTGCTGGTACATGTTTCAAACATAACTTGGATTTCTTGTAATAATAAAAAGGCATTATTTTCATCTTTTTTAAGAAAGTTCTTTTAAAAAAGATGAAAAATATGATTACCATTAAAGTCTTCCCACGAGATGTGTGCGGTTTTCCATCACGTTTGTTCACAAAAAAAGTTTTTTATTTCAACAACTTCAACAACTGGTCACAGCTGTTTGCAAGTTTTATATATTAACCATTTCAATACTTTGCGAAGAAAACTAAGTTTCAAAAACAAAGAAAGCTATCAATAGGGAGTTAAAATAAATTTAATAGAAAATAATAATAATGATTTAAATAATTTATGTACTGCTTTTTTTTTTATTTCTATAGGGTGCTTGTTATTTTCAGCAACAAAATTGGATAAGACAAAGCAAAAAAAAAAAACTGTTTAAAGTCCCATTAATAAGACTAATTTTCCTATTTTTAGAATCCAAGCATGGAAGATATGTGTTGGATTAGCACCATCATCTTTAATTAATGATTTTAGGTGGTTTAATATTAATAAATCTTTGAGAGTTAACAGGAGAATTGCCCTTCCTAACTTTAAGAGTTGTGTGTTGACAAATCAAGCCATTAAAAAAATTTCTATTGAAGCTAATCGATTGAAAGATACGGATTTGCTTTTAAGCGCAAAAAAATTCAAGAACCAAACAAGAAAAACCTTTGTGCTCTTAATATGGCTTTGAAATGTCACAATATCATTTGTGCTAAAATGTTGATTGTATAATTTTGTTTTTTCAAGACAATATATCAACTGTAAAAATTAGGGAATAAGGAAGACATCTTTCATTCGGTATTATCCCCTAATATATCGACTGTAAAAATTAGGGAATAAGGAAGACACCTTTCATTAGGCATTATCCCCTTTCAGTTTTCAAGTTAAATTTACCTTTTTATTGTAAATTTATATATTACTTATTATCAATAAATAATAGCACCCCAAGCCATGAGCTATGCAGCCCTGCTTATTAATCCAAACTTGTAAATTAGGGCTTCTATGAGGCCTTAACAAAGCATTCCAAAAACACTAACAAGGGCACCATCCATGCGCAACATGGCAATGGTAATACTCTGTTGTTTTACAAATTTTGTAGCCTCTCTGAAAGTTACCACAGAGTTTAGGAAACCTTACTACCAGCCAACCTCAGAACCACTAAACTGAGTTTAAAAGCTGTACCCTCATTAGAAGATAACAAGAAGAGTTGCATAGCCACTATACAGGATGCAAAAGCAAAAATCTATGAATGAGTCAAGAAGATCCAGCATTTGTCATCTTAGGCAGGACACAATTTAACATATGTTTACATCTATGCCAGCCGGAAGTTAAAGAAGAACCGTGAGGCTGGTAAATTGAATTATCCTGCTTACCTCTGTAGTCTTTGCAAAGGAGGCCCTCTATAAAATACTAGCATTTTGCAGTTAGTATCTTCCCAAGAAATGTATTTTTATCAAGACAACATCTCACCATAACCTTTACTCAACCAAGAATCCCAAGACAGGAGATTCTTAAATTAGAGTTTACTTCTGTTAGCTTTTGCTTAGAAAGGCGAATCCTGCAAGACATCAGGACATGGGGAAGGTAATACTAAATTACATCTTACCAGCACCAGGATCATAGTAACTTATGAATGAGCAACACTGTGCCAGAGATTTACACAGAACATATATATACATATATTAACTTACTGGTGAGTGAACACCATGCCAGAGGTTCACACAGAACACAAATGTACATATGGATATTGACATCAAGCATAGAAATTTCTTAATAGTCTTTAATGAGGATAAAATATTAAACATTAAATAAAGAGGCATACAAACTATTTTTATCTTGTCCTCTTTTTAGGAGACAGGGGGATAACCTGCTTTACAACACGCCAAATTGTAGTGCATTCAACCATGTAAATTGTTGCAATGTCTGCATGAGACATACCACTTTTAGCAAGACATTGAATGTATGCTTTTTCTTCTTTACTAAGTTGCCGAATCTTAGTCATGATTTTCACTGAATTAACTGTTTAAGCTACAAAGTTGTCTATATAAATATATTTATACCTAAATTTAAAAATATAAGGTAATAACACTGAGCCTACTGGCGTGGAAACATTGATTGTGTAAAATTGTGCCTTGTTGCAAGACTTTTTGCCAGCACTGTATATATATATATATTTTATATAAAGTATATATATATATATTTTATATAATATATATATTTTATATAATATATATATTTTATATAATATATATATATTTTATATAATAAATATTTATATTTTATATAGTATATATATATTTTATATAATATATATATATATACATATATATATATATATATATTTTATATAATATGTATATATATATATATATATATATATATATATATATATATATATATATATATATATATATATGTATATATATATATATATATATATATATATATATATATATACATATATATATATATATATGTATATATATGTATATATATATATATATATATATATATATATTTTATATAATATATTGATATTTTATTATATTGATATAGTCATAGCTTTAAATTGCTTTTCCAGTTTTTTAAATAGTTTAGTTAAGCTTTTATTTTTTATTAGATTTGTAGAACAAAGAAATCTCTACTATTGGCTGGTTGTGGAATTGTGAGTATTTATTAAAATAAAATTCTGATAATTTCAATAGGGCTTTTTTTTTAAACATTCTTTTTTTAATTAAAACGTGAACAGGTATATTAACTATTTAAAAAAAAACTTTAAACTATTTATATATTTTGTTTTCTTATGTTAATACGCAAAAGCAAAGTAAACAGTTAATTTGTTTAATATCACATTTGTTGTGACAAAAGTAAATAATATCATTGAAACCTTTTATAGTAAAATTTTTTTTGTTTTATAGTTTTAAAAATTCTGATATGATATTTCATCATATAAACAGTTTTTTATTATCTATTTTAGTTGTAAAAGTTCAAATCTAGAAAAAGTTTTCCTATCTTCCACTGATATAGTAAAAATAATTAAAACTGCTTTTTAAAATATTTCTTCTGCATTCAGATCTGGTTTTAAAAACTTTTTTAGCTATTTTTGATCTCATTTCCTAATCATCATGGTCATTCAAATCTTGTTGTTAAATTGATTTTCTTTATTAAAAACATTAAGATCTAACATTCTTTATCAGATGAATTTAATCAATGTTTCTTCTTTTAATAGTTCTATTTTCAAATAGCTTTTTAACAAGTTGAATTGATAGATTATTTTCATCAAGTTTTTTCAATCACAATTTTAGAACCCAAAAGATAAGTATCTTATTTTGAAAAAGCTGTAATTGTTAAGCTGTTTTAAAGCAACACAAAGTTCACTAATGTCACTAAAACTATTTTTTCTTCTATTCGGACCTACAAAAAAATGGTCAAACATTTTAGTAGTACTTCTCCATATTGCGCTTTAATCTCGAACTAAAGCTTTTTAAAACTTTTCAATAATATTTGGTTTTTCATCATTGTTCACTGGTGATTTATGAGTTTGACATTTAAACCTGAACATGTTCGACTGGATTAATTCTAAGCATAAAATGTTTGACTTGATTCAAGACAACAACTTAAAAATGTATAACTCAATTTGAAACCTAAGAAATAAAAAAAGAGGAAAAAAGTAATCCTTTTTGTTTTTCCTTTTGTGTTTGAGAATAATTTTTTTTTTTTAATTATGGCCTTTTTACATTAATTTTGTATTTAAATATGTCATTGAGAAAATAAAGAAAATATATTTACTCTACATTTTATATTCAAAAAGTAATAAAAACTTATTGGCAAATTTTATCACTCCCTGTCCTGTTTCCATTGTTGGATTAAGGTGGGGGCTAGGGAAGGGGCTCCTAGCCCACCCAGCCCCCTCAGTTTTAAAGGCCCCAATTCAAAAAAAAAATCTTTTTTAATGAAACTCTGAAGATAAAATCTTTGATTTATGACATGGAAAGGGGCCTCCTGCTTAAAGTAACCCCAAAAAGTCCTAATATGCCACTGGCTGTTTCGGATCAGTAACTTTTTTATTAAAAAAAAAATTATTATTAAAAAACTTTTTTTTAAAAAATATAAATGCGCATTCCTTTACTCAACTTTTAAATTTCATGGGGAAGTTCAAAAAATTATCTCAAGTTTTTTTATTTTTAGATTTAATCTCATCATTGGTGAGAAAGAAAGAAAAAAAAACCCTTTAGAGTTCAAAATTGACAACAAACTCATACATTGTAGTATGTCTAGATAGAATTTGTCAAATTCAAGAAGGATTAAAACTTAAAAAAAGTCTAGGTATATTGGATTCAATTGGCTAAAAGTTGAAAGCTTGAAACAGTTTCAAATTGAACATATTTCAAATCAATTGAAATAGCAATATTAAGCACAAAGAGTTTACTCTTTTGGTTCAAAAAAGCTTGACTCAAATAAGCTGGCATACTTTTGCCTTAAGTTTGGAGTTTAGGTTTAGTATATTTACCTAAAAAAAGTAAATCTCTGAAAAAGTATAGAGTTAATTATAAAGCTTTGCACATTGGTTAGAGTTCTGACTTGATACCAAAAAGTCTGAGGTTTAATGCTGGCTCTGGCCAGATAAGTAGCGTTGATAAGGAAGGAGGTGTAAACTTCCAAGTTATATGCTCTTTCACAGTGCTCTGTGAAAAAGCCATAAGGACTTCTGGGAGCACTTTTACAGCCACACACGCACATGCACACGCACACAAAATATTTGCATAGAAAGTATTCAAACGTTTTATATAAAAGAAGTAGTCAAAAGATGAAGTCTTTTAAACATTTTTATGTCAGATCTTTGTAATTTTTAGTAACATTTGAACATTTTATTTTTAGCAATAAATTGAACAAATCATAGTAAACTGGACAAATCATTTTCAAAGTTTTTTGTAGTATTATTGACTGTTTATTTTAAAACAAATAATAATGAAATTATTTGTTTATTATTAATTTTAAAATAAATAAAAATGTACTTTATATGTTTTAATATTATTACTTTATAATATCAAGTTATGTCAAATAAATTTCTTAGTTTTTTATTTTTACCATATTTTATCATTAGATATCAGGCCTAATATATCGTTGGAATATTTTCAAAATCCAACAATGGCGTCTTGTTCCTGAATCTATATATTCATTTTTGTATTCTTTTTATTCCTATTTCCTTCCAAGGGAGGAGTCTCTTCCTTCCAAGAGAGTTTTTATTGGAGCTACACCTGAAATTCATGAAGATATATTATATGACTATGCCATTAAAAAGCAAAATTTTACGCGGAGATATGTGAGTATTTTTTGTTAAATTTGTCAACAAATTTTTTTCTTAGTTTTTTTAATTTTTTACTATGAAGTTCTAGTCACGACATTAAACTGAACCTATGAATAGTATATATTTTGGTGGAACAGGTGAGGCTTTTTAGTTGTTATGAAAGCATCTCACTTGAGAGAGGAAAAACACTGATATATTAATTTAGTTATTGGTAAGGATAGGGGGAGCTTGTAGTCCATTCTTCCAGTGGGGAGGATGAGTTTAAGCTCCCTTTAACCTTAAAACAGGTTAGTGTTAGGCACCCAATTGCGTTAATTTACTAAAATAATAAAAAAATAATAATTATTTTATTTAAAAAAAATATTATTTACTAAGTTATATTTAATATTAAAATAAATTTTTTATCATTAGGTTGCTAGGGATCAGATACATCAAGGATATTCTGATGTAGTTAACCCATCCTTTTCTCAGTTGTTCCAACAAGGTCAGCCTGTTGAGGCATCAAATGTTAATCCTGTTCAAACACCTTCAGAAGAAAAGGTATGGAGAACTTTTATAATTTTTTTTTAAAAAGCTTTTTTACAATTTATATTTATGAATATTTTTAAAAATTTATGTTTAAAAGGAGATTTTTATAATTTTTTTTTTTGTTTGATTTATTTTTTTGCTTAAGATTGAGAAATTTTTTATTTGAAATCTTTTAAACCAAATAAAATAACCAAATAAAAAAAGTAATTTATGCTGCTTGGTACTTTAACTATTGTAATATGTTCTTCTTTAACTGTCCTTGTCATTGTTATTGTCTTTTCTAACATCAGAACCAATACATTGTAATTTAAAAATTTTGCTTTTTTTCCCAATTACATTTTTTTGTCCGATATGAACTCTTTCTTGCTCTACTTTTTTCTTATCAAGCATATTTGATTCATTTAGTATAACCATGTCTTTTAAAGCAGTATTAACAATAGCAATAGTCAGCAACTGACGCAATTTTTTCTGTTTCAGTTTTCTTAAAATAGAGGTGTAGGTATGATCAAGTTGTCTGAAAATGTTTTTTGTGTTGCTTTTGTCCAACAAATGCATTCCATTCATTCATTAGCACTTTACTTTAAAAATACATTTGCATTTTTGCATTTAAATGATGTACTTTAAAAGTACATCTGCATTTTTGCATTTAAATGTTAAGTATCTGTATTACTGCAAGTATAAAATGCTGCCATGAGTTGCTTTTTATTATTAACATAATTATATACTACTTTTTATTAATAAAAAATAAGATATATACATTATTATTATAATGCAGTCGTCGCATATTGGTTAGAGTTCTGACTGAGAACCAGACGCACATTGGTTAGGGTTCTGACTCAGAATGACGCTGGCTCTAGCCCAATAAGCAAACTTGGTAAGAAAGGAGATATATAATATGTAAAGACATTATAAAAGTTCACATTTTCTGGTAAAATATATGTTAAAGAGTTTTTACAAAAACTTACTAAATCACATGGTAGGAAACCTATGTTCTCACCTGATTTAGCTTCAAACCATTATAGTTAACTGGATATGGATTGGTATAAGAAAAAATGACATTAAAGTTGTGCCTAAAATAGCAAAAAACATTTAACCAGAATTGAGAGTTATTGAAAAGTAATAAATGAATAATAACAAAAAAGTTTTGCAGAAATTTTTATATGGAAAGGTCATTTAATAAAGTATTAAATAGTTTTGATTTTTTTTTTTTTTTATGCACTCAAGCTTGTGGGTCACCATCAAAACAAAAGCTCGGAATTTTATTAGGTGCCCGCAAGAATAAATAAGTTTGTTTAACATATTTAATCTTCTTATAATAATGTATAGAAATTATCACTTAGTTCTAAATAAAAATTGATGAGTCCCTTTTTTTAGTACTTTTTCTATTTTTACATTAATTTCGTGTGCACGATAAGTTCTGTTTTAAAATTTCGTGAATTTCTTATTTTTCACACTTTGCTTAGTTCTACTGCGTTTATGTTATGTACATGCTTTAGTTCTACTTTTACATTAATTTTGTGTTCACGTTTTAGTTCTATTTTAAAGATAAAATTATTTAATTTGGTCAGAATTTCAACCTACAAGAAATTAGGCTAATTAATTTGACCTTATTAATTTAATTACTAATGTATTTAGCGTCAGAATTGTGGAAAAAACTGCACTTTTAAGAGTGTAAATATTTTTGCATTAACCTGCTTTGATTACGAAGGCAAGTGTTTTTACATCAAATTTAAAAAGCTTGTACGCTTTGGTTGCAGAACCATATGGTTTTAGGTTATTTAAAAGTAAAAGTAAACTAATATTGGATAAAAGAAAAAAGAAAATACCAGCTGAAAAAGCTTAAAAGTATTTGAAAAAAATACTTTTAAGCTTATTTCTTTTAAAAGAAAAAAGTATCATTGCACATCTTATTATCAACATCTGACATCAAACATTAATATCTGACATCAAACATTAACATCTGACATTAAACATTAACATCTGACATTAAACATTAACATCTGACATTAAATATTAACATCTGACATTAAACATTAATATCTGACATCAAACATTAACATCTGACATTAAACATTAACATCTGACATTAAACATTAACATCTGACATTAAATATTAACATCTGACATTAAACATTAATATCTGAATATCAACATCTGACATCAAACATTAATATCTGAATATCAGCTAAAAGAAAAAACGAACTAATTGTAATTCTGATAATATATTTAATCTTTTTGGTACAATAAATAATGGGTATGTACTAGAATTCATTGATTCATTTAAATTTGATGAAACCTAATCAGTGTTTCTTTGGATAGAACTAAAACATTTAGTTCTATCCAAAGAGAGAATAAAGAATATGAAAAAAGCAATTTTATCACAATCTTTAGAACAAAGAAATGAAAAAATGTTTGACATCTTTAAACTTTAGTTTTATTACTAATAGACAAAAAAGTATATTTCCTGCCTCAATTTTGAATAGAGTTTTAAAAAACAATAAAAATAACTTTTACAACCAAGCTTGTAAATGGGGTAAAATAAATGAAAATACTGCAATTAAAAAAACTGAAAATATGAAAAATGTACTAGCAACAAAATTTGGATTTATCATTAATCCAAAATGGCTTTTTGAATTCTCTTGATCCTTATTCAAAAAAAAGTTTAAATATAGCCGAAGCTTGCCAGAATAAAACATTTTCCCCTGCTGTTAATGATAAAACAACGCTTAAACAAAATCGTGTTTGTTTTTATCAATGTCAAGGCAATATGGCATTATTAGAGACTTTATTGTTTATATGGAAAAAAATGTTTTTATTGAGAGTAAATTTCTTTAAAAACAATCGAAAAAAACTCTTTAAGTAGATTTAACTATGTTTTAATTTGAGTTCATGCGAGAAAGTATTTATCTGGAGCAAGTAGTGCCAAAAGTCAACTGGCAAAGGTTTGCTAAATAACAACTAACTATCCAAGTTATTTAATAGTTTCTGGCGCCATAGACAATTTAAATGGTGTTTTTAAAATTTGATAATTTTTTATTTGCTGTATTGCTCTTTCTACATGAATCATCAACAATCAAGGCTGAGTTGAGCTTTTCCATTTAGAAATGGTGGTATATTTAATGAAATATTTTCTAGTAAATCATCACTAATATTGAAACCTTTATCTGCCATAACACCGTCTCCTGGTTCAGGTAGGTTATGTATGTCACAATCTTTATTAATTTGTCTGACCACAGTATAAATCAGAGACACAGTATAAATCAGAGACAAAAGGACCACAGTATAAATCAGAGACAAAAGTTATGGTTCCATTAGGTGCTATTTCAATTAATCCCTTTCCTGTATTTTTATGAATATAACGAAAAAAAGTTACAGACCTTCGAAAAAAAAGTTACAGACCTTCAAAAAAAAAGTTACAGACCTTCGAAAAAAAAGTTACAGACCTTCGAAAAAAAGTTACAGACCTTCGAAAAAAGTTACACACCTTCAAAAAAAAATTACAGACCTTCGAAAAAATGTATTTCAATAAACTTCAAGTGCAGTCTAAAATTTTGTCGATTCATATTTTTCCTTAAAACATTTTAGCATTGTTCCTTTCACAGTTGTCCAAATTGATAGCATACACATTTGAGAATACAAAAAATCCATGACACTATGATATTATTAATATGACTTGAGGATATGTCAAAGTGTAACGCCATGTCTTCAACTAAAAAGCCAAGTCGAAATCTTGTTAGAACTAAAAATTATGATTCTAAATTATGTCCTCTTTCCTTTTTATTGTACTTAAAACCTGTTGTTTTTTCAATGTTTGTATTAGACCCCAATAAATAAGATTGCTTGCGGAAGGTTCTAAATATTTTAATAGAACTTTAAATAGGTTATATGATTTGAAACTAGTATAAAATTTAAAGTGTGCTTGATTATGTTTAAATCTGTCAGTTGTAAATTTTATTTGATTGATAGTGTGATTTTGGTTCATAATAATTTTTTTCGATTTTTTTTTTCTTCTAGTTTTTATAATGTTCAGTTTGTCCTCGTGAGAATAATTTTTTCAATGTTCAGTTCACTTTTCAGGCTCGGTTTCTTCAAATAAGATATATCTTTTTTTTTTTTCAATTTCGTCTATTTTTCTTTTATATCCAATCGAATTATTTACTGTGGTTCTTGGTTTGGTTTTTTCTGAAGAAATTTTGAATTTCTGAAGAAATTCGATGAGAAGGAACAAAGTTTATCCAACTAATAAAAGATTTTTTTTTTAACCTTATCCCAAGGGAAAGTTAGTTTCTTTTGGGATAAGGTTAAATAATAAATTTTTTTTTTTGAATTTTTTTTTTAACTGAATTATTGTTGCATAATGGAACACAGCAAATTATGCAACCATGATACTTTGATGTTGTTATTTTTTGCTCGACAGTAATATTTTCTTGAATGGAATGAGTTATTAGTTTTTCACCAGATATTTTATTATTTGAAATCCTTTTGAAAACACTTTTTAAATTAAAATATTTGACTGCTTTTTGAAAAAAAAACTTAAACGCTTATTTGTTTATTTTTATGATGAGTACGAAGAACGAAATGCATGACGATTTTTTTCTTTTGGGAGAGCGGTCTATTGTCGAGTTTATTCTGTAAATAATGGGTCATAAAAACTATAATCTTAAACTTTTTAATAGTTTTTTGCATTTATGAATTTTTTGAGTTACGCAAAAAATAATCAGTTTTATATATTCAAATTTGGTAATGTACTTTTTCTCTTTTTGTGCTTATCGTTTTTAAAAAATTTAAAAGGTCGTTTTAAATAATAACTGTTTTATCAGAGCCGTTGCAGTTCAAGTGACGTAAAAATATGTTTCTATTATAGAAAGCCATTATATAAAAAGTAGTGTTAGTAAGTGTTAGTAAACAAGTTCATTGACACGCTAAGACATTTGTATGGTGTCAATTTGGCTGTCAACTAGAAATGTTTTTTTTTATTTCATTACATTTTATTTTTATTTATCCTACAGTTTCTATTCACCCATTTTTATGGTGCTTGGTATTTGTTGTAAATAAATATTTTAAAATGAAATAAAAAATATATAATTTTATCAATATTGTTATATATAATTATATGTAATAGAATCATATATATTAGAAATATATACAATTCTATTATGTTCTATTTATTTAGATTAAAACTCTTGTCGATATGGGGTTTAGTCGTGCAGATGTTGTTCATGCACTTTTAAGTTCAAATGAAGATTTGCAAGCCGCTACCTCCTTACTGTTATCTTCTACTTCCTCTTCATAATTCGCTTATGAATATCTAGTTTTAAAATTGAAATTGTTCTTTAATGAATTTTTTTATTATTAATTTTTTTCTTTTTTTATTTGTTCGTTTGATATGTGTGTGTGCGTGCGCGCGTGCGTGTGTATATATATGTATATATATATATATATATATATATATATATATATATATATATATATATATATATATGTATATATATATATATATATGTATATATATATATATGTATATATATATATATGTATATATATATATATATATATATATATATATATATATATATATATATATATATATATATATATATATATATATATATATATATATATATATATATATATATATATATATATATATATATATATGTATATATATATATATATATATATGTATATATATATACAGAGCGGATCTAGGCTGTTGCAAGTGTAGCAATTGCTACAGTCAGCTCAGTTTTGTTTTCTCTTTTTATTTGTTACACGCATATTTTTTTTAATGCAAAAAGTAAAAATATTTAAAATAAGATATGGAGGTTACAAGTAGTCGTAACTGAGCCAAGTTGTCTATGTTACGGAAATATTTCATTCGGAAAAATAAAATTTATTCGTAACTGAGCCAAGTTGACTATGTTACGGAAATATTTCATTCGGAAAAATAAAATGCTTCGCTGAAAAACCCATGTTTTTAACGGGTTTTCTCTCACATGCCCATAAATTTTCGAAAGAATGTTAAACATTTCGCAGCGTATCAACATAAATTGAACTGGGAGTTAAATAAAATAGCAAATCGACTGTAGCAACTGTAGCAAAAGTCAATTTGTCATATTTTGAAACAACTCTATACATACCCCCAATAATTTATTATGCATTTAGCCTATTTACCTAACGTAGTGACTAAAAGTCATCAAACGAGAACCTGTTGTAAAAAAAAATGTGTAGCAAAAACTGATCTTCAGTTAAATATCCACTCTCCGTTTATAAAACTTTTTTTAATGAAGTGGATAGCAATCATTGAAAAGATTTTATAATTATAAGCACTAAATTAAATAGCAGCGTCTATTGGTTTCTTTATGTGTCTGTTATGAAAAATGGTGAAATGTGTTTATTGCTGTTCTTTGATTTAATATTGAAGAAGTCAAATGATTTAAAAACGTTTTAAAAAATTGATTTCCCAGAGGCAAAGAGAAGAAAACACGTTGGATAGAATGTTTACCTAACGCAAGTTTTAAAACGTCTAGTAACACTTTATTGTATGATCTGATTGACATCAAAATTTCAAAAAGGTTAAACTAAAATAACATTTTGCACAATTTTCCTCTCAGATAGATTTTTAGTGTATTCTAAAGTTGCAAATAGGAACTGTTATTCTCTGTGACAAGGTGTATGTTACAAAAATGTTATTGTATCAGGAAGTTGCTGGTTTTAGAAAACCAATAATACAAAATAATGGACTCAAAAAGCAAACCCTTTTTTTTTGATATTACTTACAATGTTCTTCTTAATCACCCTGAAACGTTCTGAAATCTCAAACGTTAATAAGACTGGTAATTTTATTAAACTTGCTGTCACATAATTTAACGTAAAAGTTGTGGGCATATATTTTAGGCATATATTTTATATATATATATATATATATATATATATATATATATGTCACAAGGCATTTCACAAATTATACACGTGAAGAAATAGTCTAGCTGATTAAAACCTTAGCGAGAAACACTTGTTATTAACATATTAATGTTAGGAAAATTTGATACAGAACTACATGAAACAGAATTTAGAAATTTAAGAAAAGTATCTTTAGACATTTTTTTAATTGTTATTCGAAACCAAAAAAGTCTCTTTTTTATATTAAAGTGTATTTTTAAGTTATAATTTGGTTAACAAATATGAAATTTTGACCAGTGTATTGTTTTATTTTTTTAAACTTTAGTCAATATCCAAAATCATTTGAAATAGGTGGATTAATAAGTCCTTTTGACAATACTGTTCAATGGCTTTTCTTCAATTTGATTAAAAATAAAGTTTGTTTGATTTCCATATTAAATAATTTTATGCTTTATTGCATTACTTAATTGAAATTGAGTATTATCATCAAAATATACTTTCTTATATATTTTTATAGAAAAACACCGAAAACTTTCTACACCAAAATTAAGAACTATGTTGTTTTAAACAAAGAACAACCATATTAAGTTAAATACTAGCAGTAAGCAACCCGTAATACGCATTGTTAGTAAATTAAATTAAAAAAAAAAACCGCGTATAGAAAAGCCTAGAAACTACTTTAAAATAAAAAAGCCTAGAAAATGACGTAATTCGACTAATAATATATTTCTAGGCTTTTCTATTTTAAAGTAGTTTCTAGGCTTTTTTATACGTGGTTTTTTTTTTTAATTATATCTTATATAATATATTATATATAATTTTTATAATATAATATAATAATCATCTTATATAATATATTTATATAATATATTAAATATAATATATATAATTATATCTTATATACATATAATATAATTTAATTATAGTGTAACGAGGGGCAAAATGAGACACTTAAGCGCTAATATATCTAATGCGTCTAACAACTTTTGAAAAAATAAATTGATATTTTTCAATTCTTCTACGATCCTACTTGAAACCTAAAAAGTATGAGTTGCAAAACTGCAGTAGTTTGGTCACCAGAGATCATTTATTGACAGCACCTATCCTGTCTCTTTTTGCCCCGCATACCGGGGCGAAATGAGACAGATTTTTTTTTTAGTAATTTAAATAAATAAAGTTAAAAAAAACATATCATTAAAAGGATTAGCAAGAAATACATTTTATAATATATTACAGCTATAATCAAACTGTCACTAGTCACATAAATCACATATTGCTTAACCAGTATTTTGAAACTAACAATAGTCCGAATGAGCCCAGGTTGTGCATTTTGGAAATTGACTCCACTTCATATATATATATATATATATATATATATATATATATATATATATATATATATATATATATATATATATATATATATATATATATATATATATATATATATATATATATATATATATATATATATATATATATATATATTATCCACTACAAGAACTAATAAAACCATACAAGCATATATTAAACTTATGTATTTAAAGCACGCATAACATTCATTGTATTTTGTTTATAGATACAGCAATAACCTATGTTATAATCTACTCACTATATATAATATATACTACTTACTTTATTACATTACAATACAATAAGATTATAAAATACAAACATAGTAATTATAAACATCAGGCAATTATTTGCTTCAATTTGATTAAATATTTTTTATATTTAAGTATAAGTTAACAAAATATAAAACGTAATTCTATATTGAATAACAACTAAACATTTCAATTAACAAAATAAAAAGTAAGTAAATACAGTATAATAAATTTAAATCTACAGCATGTAAATATTAATATTTGCTTTGGTTGTTGTTTTAATGTAAAAAAATAAATAAACATATTAGATATCGGTAAAAAAAAATACAAACAGAATGTCTCGTTTTGCCCCGCATCATGTTGGCATCGAATAGCCTAATTTCCAGACTATTTTATTGAAGAAATAAAATACCAAAAAATGGAAATGAAAAGAAAAAGCCTAAAGATTCTAGTTAAAAAAAAAATTTAAGTATAAAAAGCTTTTCCACTCAGTGAGATCAAAAAAGGCTAGGAAAAAATATAATAACAACTCTTAAAAATTCGTAATTTTCGCAAAGCCGAGGGATGAAATGACTCCCCTTTTACTCAACTTTTTTATTTCAAAGTGACTCAATATATTTTTCTTGACACAAAATAGTTTTCGAACACAACTGCACTTTTAAAAATCTTGCAAATAATAATTTGTAGGGCTGGCATTATGTTAAACGCGAACTGTCTCGTATTGCCTCGCTGTCTCATTTTGCCCCGCATTACCTTATATTATATAATATATTATCAGATTAAGTTTAAACAAAGTTTTAAGTTTAAACATATAAGGTTTAAACAAAAAACAACCATATTAAGTTTGTCATGTTAGGTTGACATTTATTCATTGACACTTTTGTTTTTATTATTTGATGAGATTTTATAATTGTATCGTTGTTATTGTAATATTCCTGAAGTTTGCTGTTTTGGGATTTTAAAATTTCTTTGTTTCAAGCTCTTTGTTTTCATTTCTTTGTTTTCATTTCTTTGTTTTCATTTCTTTGTTTTCATTTTTATTGAAAAAGTTTAGTTACTTTAGTTCTATTTTTTATTTGATTTGAAAAATTTTTTTTTCATTATTTGACAAAAAATTTATTGTAACGAAGTAGTGAAGTTTATTATTAAAAAAATGAAAATATTTATAAATTGTTTATATAATTTAATGTAAATCATTTAGTGTCTATTTTAATTTTCAATTATTTTATAAAGTAAGCCATTAAATAAAACATAGTGTGTTTTAAAAGAAATAATATAATTAAATAAAAAAATTGAATTTAAACCAAATTTAAATTAATTTTCTCGTTTACATTTTCAAATATCATCCTCTAATTTTTTTGCAGAACAAAAAATTTTAACAACCATAAATATTTTGTTGATTTAAATATATAAATACACTTATATGATGTTTTGAGTACTATTTGGCATAAATAGATTGACTGGCAATAACAATACCAAGAACTAAATGTAAATACATCGACTGAGGGTAAGGGTTCGGTCAGGGTTTTAGTCATGATTAAAAGTCATAAAAGTAAACTTTCGTTTCGTTAAAAGGTATTCAGTTTAACTAGATGGTTTTAACGTCGCGCAAATCAGGTAATCTTCTGCTCTAAATGGAAAAATAAAGAAAGCAGTGGTAGAGAACCTCATGTATCACTATAAGCCATTGTATATCCAAGGCTAGCGCGAATGGTGTGTGATACCCTACACTACTCCCTATCAAAGAATTTTATTTCATTATGTCTGCAAATTAAGATCTTTTAGACCTGCAAATCCGCATGTGTAGATCATATAGTATAGTCGGCAAACTTGGAAAAAATTGTAAAAAGCAAGGACCTTTTTTTTTTTAAGACAAAAAATTATTGTAGGCATTTTTGCTACAGTCAATAAAAATCCTGAATCCGCCCCTGATATATATATATATATATATAATATATATATATATATATATATATATATATATATATATATATATATATATATATATATATATATATATATATATATATATATATATATATATATATATATATATATATATATTTATAATAGGAATATATAGAGAGAGATTTTCTATTATTTAGCTAGATAAATAAAACAGTTACATAAAAAATTTTTTATATAATTTTAAAAAATTTAGAAAAATAAACGCATATGTCTAAATTTTATGTCAATCATCTTAGTCAATATAAAAAATATTTGGTTTTCCCACATTTTTTTTGTTTTAAGAGAAATAGTTTTTTATCTTTTCTATGTAGGTATCCCAAAAAAATCTTTTCTACCAATTTTTAGCATTTTTATCTTTTTGACAGTACGAGAGGTTAGAATTATTTTGTTCTATCTCCATGTTTTTCCAAACCGAGAAAATAAAGTTCAAAGTTTTAAGTTGACATGCAGACCAATTAATAAAAAACTCAAAAAAAAAAAACAATTTGTATTAATTTCCTAAACAGGCTACCACAGTTTTAAAGAAATCGTATTAAAATATTTAAAGTACAGGTGTCTGAATTATTACACCCTGATTTGGAGATGGAACAATGTAACACACTTATTTTATAAAATACAGTGCTATTTTCTTTTTTCTCCATTTTCTGTTAAAAAATATAATATAAGCTAGTATTTTTTATATACATTGTGGCAAGATAAATCTATATTTTGGCAATTAAAGTACTGTAAGGTACATATCTATTTTATTATATAATAAAAACACACTATTTTATCTAAAATTCAATTCAACAGAGAAGATAAGTAATATATTATCTAAAGTATGTACCAAGAATCTTCACAACGAAATAAAACTTTAGTTATAAGTTCTAAAATACATTGCACAAAGAAAAGAATAATTAGTTAACCAGCACCGTTGGTAAGGCCATTAAAAATATAACATTTCACTACGAAATCCATTTAACAACGTAACATATAAAACATATATATTTTGACAATGCATAAAAATATTTTAAAATACTCTTATAAATATGCAATATTTACATATACTTGAACAGATTTGTTCAAATTTCAAATGATAAAGCCAATGATTGGCTATATCATTTGAAATTCGAACACCCTTATTCAAGGCAGAAAACATGAGTACCTCTGCCATGACTATGATTGTAGGTTGTTAACTCATGCTAACTCATGGAAGAAACATTATAACATGATTTTTTGTAGTATACATGATCTGAATGCTAGATGCTTTATCTAGATATAGGGAACAAGCTTAGCTTGCAATAGCTAAAAAATGTTTGAAATTCAATTTTTTCATTTGGTAGACAGATTTTTTTTTTTTTTTTTTGAAGGGTAGGAATTGCTCTGATTAAACCAAGGGGACTAAATATTTTAAAAGGTGCGAGTACTCTACCAATTTGACTGTGGACATTATCAACCTCTTGTATCCTAGAATTCCCTGGTCTTAAAATTTTGTTAAATTACTCTGATTTTTGGGTAACATATCACAAACCAAAAATCAACGAATATACATGTTCATTTTTCATAACTGATATTTTGTGTGTATTTAAATTTACAAGAACTCAACAGTCTTTCTTTTTGGTTACAGATTTGCACCAAACATTTTCTCCCTTTCTATTTTTATGCGGCTGATCAGATTATCTTAGCTGCTTTCTTATATTCTGTATACAAGTTTTAGGTGGTGACTTTCGTTTTCTAGTTTTTCTTTAACGTAGGAGCAGACGACGAGCTAGTGCTATTTTAGGATTATTACCATGATGACCTAGAACAGTCAGATCAGTTTCTGAATGAAATAAATATATATTTTGATTGGATAAAAAGGAGATAACACATTATAATTTTAATTTTTAAACAGGAATAAGGAGATAGTAAAGAATGCAATGTCAGGTATAGTAAGTTAATTTTTTTTTTTACTGATTTATTTGTAAAAATAGATATTTTATATATTTAAATATTTAAAAAAAAAATTGATCCAACTCTATTTTTTTAATTTGTGGAGATAGAACAAAATAATTCTAACCTCGCGAGTAGTTTACACTTTAAAAATGCTGAGATTTTGCATAAGCCAAGTCAAACCGCGATTTAAATAGCAAATCAATGCTTTGGTTTATAAAATGGTACACGTATTAATAAAAAAATTATGATAAAAATTGTTGGTATTACATAGTAGAACACTCATGTAGACATTATTTTAAAAATAGTAACCAAATATCACAGTAATCTGTAACGTTTTGAAGTGTAAGTAACAAAAAACTAACAAAACTAAAACTGCCATAAATTCTTAACCAGTTAACCAATCAGACTGGAAATGTATCCAGAGTTTGGTATGACCAAAGGCTAAATTTGCATTTTTATCAAATTATGTAGTGTTTTTATTCTACAGGTGTTTTTATTGGCGCAATAAAAAGTCAAAATATCACTCAAATTGAACATTCTAATTAAATTTTTTTCCGAGAACAAAATTAAAAGATTTCAAAATTTGCATCGGTATAGCCTACCATTAAGTGTAAGCTATTTTTCCATATAAGAGGTATTTTTGGGTCAGCTAGCTTGGCATTATCAGAATCCATGGTAACTATGCTAAAATAATCAAAAAAATGCGAAACCAAACTCTTTGTTAATAGTTTTTTTGCCACGAACTGACTTTTTTTTTAATTATCTTCGCTTCCAACAAGGTTGCAAGCAACCACTAATTAGTGTTGGAAGTTACTGGAAAAGAAAAGACGAAGATTGTAGAGCAAAGATAACGATTGACAGACGACTTAAAAGATTTCAAATTATATGAATCAGGAAAGCAAGATGAAGGAAGCGAATTCCAAAGAACTGATGTTCGAGGAAAAAAACTAGACGAATAACAGTTTTTGGAGCACTTAGGAACAGTAACAGAAAAAGGATGAGACTTAATTGAATGACGAGTAACACGAGAATGAATTTTAGCAGATGGCACAAAAGACGCTAGCTCTTTAGAGCAGTGCCCATTATAGTATTTGTAGAAAAGAGAAAGAGAAGCAACATTACGACAATGTGACAGAGGTTGAAGGTTGGCTGCAAGAGCAGGTCCAACTATGTTTTCAATGCGTTTTTGCACCTTGTCTAAAAAAGAAAGGGCATCATTAGAAGACCCGCCTCAGATATGGCAACAGTATTCCATACAAGGCCAAATTTGAGATTTATAGAGATAGAGAATACAATCCAGAGTAAGAAAGTGACAAGCTCGATAAAGAGAAGCAACATTAGCAGATGTTAATTTTGCAACGGATTTGATATAAGGTTTCAAAGAAAGATCAGAAGTAAGAGTTAATCCTAGAAGATGAAGGGTAGGAGACTCATCGAGTACATTACCGTTCATAAATATAGGAAGGTCTAAATTATTGCGATAACGATTGTCCGAAAAAAATTGTGTTTTATCTGAATTAAAGTTCACCAGCCACTGTGAGCCCCATGCTGTAGCAGAAGTGAGATCCTTTTTAAGCTCAGATGCCCCCTGCAAGCAATCAGAGGGAGTTGGCTTCTTATCGTGACAAAAATAAATGGTAGTATCATCAGCGAACAATGCCACCTGAGATGTGAGAATATCTGGAACATCGTTAATGTAAATTAAAAAGAATATAGGGCCAAGGATTGAACCTTGGGGAACCCCTGAGGTTACAGAATAAGAAGAAGAGTGCTGTCCATCAAGGACAACTTTTATACTACGATTGGAAAGAAAGGATTCAATATTCTTAAAGATGTTTCCAGATACACCGTAAGAAGAAAGCTTATGGAGGAGACCAGCATGCCAAACTTTATCAAACGCTTTAGAAATGTTAAGAGCGATAGCCTTAACCTCTGCACCTTTATTTAATGCGCGATAAAACCTATCGGTTATTACTGATAGCAAATCAGACATAGAACAAGAAGATCAAAATCCATATTGATGATCAGAAAGTAGGTTATGAGATTCGAGATGAGAGATTAAGTGTTTGTTACTTAAAGATTTAAAAACTATGCTTATGATAGGAAGAAGACTAATGGGACGGTAGTTAGATGAACCAGATCGCTCTCCAGAATTTTTAAAAATTGGAATAACAGATTTTTCGGTCACCAATCTAGTTTTCTAGCATGCTTTCCAGCAGGCTGGAAAACAAGACTCTGATAAGCACTTGTTAAATAGTTTTGAAAGGATAGACGACAGCTCCGGAGAACACTTCTGCAAGACTATAACAGGTATGTTGTCCAAGCCGCAAGCTGTAGAAGAGTCTAAGCAGGAAATCACTTTAGATACAGAAGCTGGAGTGATACGAATGTCGAGCAATGGATCAACCTGTTTGACAACTATATCAGGTAGAACGCAACTAGTGGCATCAAGAGATGATATTGATGAAAAGTTCTTGGCAAACAATTCAGCTTTGTCTTCAGGTGAGGTGACAAAATCTGAACCATACAAAAGAGGTGGAATTACAGACTTGCCCTTAGTATTGATACTATTAAAGATTCTCCAGAAGTCACGAGAGCCTAATTTTTGTGATGAAATACGAGATTTCATGATCTTTGGCGTTAGACAAAACCTTTTTACAATGGTTCCTAGCAGTAATAAAGAGACGTCTGTTTTCTGGAGAATTGTTTTGCTGATAGATATGGAAGTAATGGTTTCGATTGGCCATTGCAGCAGCACAATGTGAGGAAAACCATGGAGAAGAGTGAGACTTGACCAGGAATTGTCGAGAGGGAATAAAGGATTCCATGCCAGCCTGATCCACGAAGTTATGTAAGAAGCACATTTGTCAACAGGGAGACGAAAGATTTCTACCAGGGGCCATCACGAAAAAAATCACGGAAAGAGTCCCAGTCAGCTTTAAGATAGTTGTAAGATGTACAATGATAGGGGGATTCTGATGGTAAAGAAGAATGAGATAATAGTTTCAGAGAGACCAAACCATGATCAGACGCACCTAAGGGTGAGTGTGAAGAAACTGAGCACTGACTAGGATCAGAAACAAGACATAAGTCGAGTAGAGAAGGTAAATGATTTGGGTTGTCTGGAAGCGAGTTGGAAAGTTGACTATTTGAGTTAGGGATTGAGAAAGACAAAAGTTGTGGGCCTTAATGCCTGCAGAGTCACTGACACTAGAGCCAAGCCATTCAGTGTGATGAACATTAAAGTCACCAACAACAACAATATTGGCTGATGGATAAAAAATGAGGGCTTGGTCAATATAATCAGAAATAACATCAAGAAGAGTGCAGTCTTGAGATGAGGGAGAGCGATATAGAACAAAGAGAAAGGTGATAGAGTGAAGTGGTGCAAACCTAGTTTCCCGACAAATGGGTGAATTCTTACGAATGTAAATGCCCAGGCCAAGCATGTGACTATTTGAGTCTTTTCAAATTAAAGGAAGATAACCATCAACACTAAGATCACAAGATGAGACAGCTGAACTCAAATTAGTCTCACAAAGAGCAAGTAGGTCTGGTGAATTTTGCAAGAGATAAGACTCAACAGAAGAACAGTTACTTCGAAGATTGGTGAATGATAGGTTTAGCGAACTTGGTGATGACTGTGGTTTTTTGTGTTTTATAGTTTTTGTTACTTTATTCACTTTTAAATTTGTTAAAGAACTTGACTCGAAACATAGATAGTACTCAGTACACTGTTTTATAGCTCAAGCAATTGCCTCATTTCCACTAATAAACCCTAAGCCGTAACAAAGGGCTCCAATGTGGCCTTGGCAATGCACACCAAAAGTACAAACAGGGATACCACCCATGCGCAACATGGCACTGTTAGTACTCTGATATTTTTCAGCTGTTTATGGAATCAGCCTCTCTGAGAGCTACCACAGAGTTCGGGAAACCTGACTACCAGCCGGCCTCAGAACCATAAAACTGAGTTTTAGAGCTGTACCCTCATTTGGAGATAATAGAATGAGTTGCCTAGTCATAAAAACAGAGACACAAGCAAAACCCATGAATCGAGTCAAGAAGATCCAGCGTTCAACATCCTAAACTGGAAACAATGTATTAAAAATACATCCGCGCCAGCGGATGTATTTTTAATACATTGTTTAATTGATTAATAGATGAATATTGATTAATAGATGAAGAATTGATTTGATTAATTATTGATTAATAACATAACATTTGATTTAATTATTTATATTATAACATTATAACATTGATTAATAGATGAAGAAGGGGTGCAAGGCTGGTCAACAGATAGAATCTGTTTACCCCTTAAGTCTTTGCCTAGGAGGCCTTCTACAAGACAGCAGCCGGATGCATGTAACATCTGCCCAAGATGAGTATTTTTATCGAGACACCATCTCTAGCCTTTACTCAACCAAGAGCCCCAAGGCAGGGGGTGTTTTATGTCGGAGTTTGCATCTCCTAGCCTTTGCCTAAAAAGGCAAATCCTACAAGGCAGCAGGATATGAAGCAGATTGTACTGAGTTACATGTTACCAGTAGCAGGATAAACCTGACCTGACTTCACTGCGCAGAATTTATTTTGGCTTCACTTTTAGATTAGTAAATTACTGGTGTCGTATCTATAGATTTTAATGGTCTAATAGTTATACCACCAAGAAAAAAACTTTAAGAAAAATTCAAAAAAACTTAGGAAAGCAAAAACTAAGCTAAAAGTATTTTATTTTGTGTTCAATAAATAATTTTAATATTTGAAAGTTTTTGTTGTTTTTACCGGCTATTAAACTCAAGTGTTTTTTATTAATTTATAACTTTATATTTTACAAAAAAGTTTTTAGAAAACAATATTGATGTATTTAGTCTTTGTTTGAAAATATCCAATTAAAATCCAAAAATTTTTTAATGGAAAAACTAGTTTTGCGTTTTTGTTACAAAGTAACGTCACTTTCGCTAAGCATGTTGGCTTTTCGAAAAACGTATTAGACCGTGGATTAGCCCAAAAAAACTGCGTTTAATTTTTTTCTTTATGTAAGATTTTTAAAATCATTATATGTTATGGTGGCTCTACCCCTTTTTTTCTAAATTCTTTAAAAATTAAAAAAAATGTTTTTGCACTAAGTTTACTGTTGATATATTTAATGAAAAAATAAATTTGACAAAAAGTTTTTAAAAATGCTGAAAAAATAAAGCTGTGTCAGCAAAAATTATTAAAAAAGTATCAAATTTTAAACATTAGTTTCTCAAAATCTGTAAATAATATTTGAACCAAATTTTGACAGCATAAAGGTAAAGTAGTAAAGAAGGTTCTGAACTAAAATCAAAATTTGAAAATGTACCAATCCATAATGGCTGACTTATTTTTGAGCATTGAAAAATAAGGTCATTTTAGCAAATCAAAGTGCGATTATACAAGATCCATTTGTTCTAAATAGTTGTTTTTAGTTCAGAACCTAGTTCCAATATTAAAGAAAAGTCTGTAAAAATTTCAAGTCAATCGGTTAAACAGAAGTACTAAAAACTGTTGTTTGAATTTAAGTGAACGTAACAAAAACTTATTTCTGAGAAAAATGAAAAACAAAATTAAAAATGAAATAAATAGTATACAAACATGAAACTAGTGTGCCCCAGAACTATAAGTTTCACCCTCTGTCTCTTTTTCTTTGTCAAAGAATCCTTTTTTTAATGCACTCATACTTTTCCTCTGTTTTTTCTTTTTTTCGCTCATTTTACTATTAACTTGTTTGATACGAGTACTGTCCTTTTTTGTTGCATAAAAAAAAAAGTATTTCTTAGGAGTCAAATTTAATAGTTTAAATACACGATTAAGTCCTATAACACCTTCATTATAATTTATGATAGCAGAATATACTCTAATCTCTAAAACAGTTCTTGACACAAAACGAGACTTTGGACACTTATTCCAAATTAATTGGTTTAAAGCTTCATTTGGGTTTTGGGTAAACCCATGTAAGCACTTTTTCAGAAGATCTTCAGAGCCAAGATCTTTTAATATGCCTTCAATTTCTTTTTTTATACCCAGAGGCAAATTTAAATGTGCTTTGTAGGTATTTGTACCTTCAAGTTTATATTTTTGCCATTTACACCAGCTCTTAGTTGTTCGAGGGCAAAACAAATGGCGACTTTCAGAATTTATGTCAGAACAATGATATAAAACTGCACCAACTGCACGCCTCATTAGGGGTAGTTCTTTATTCTGCCTTATGGCCATCCCATAAAAGTTTTGCAAAGTGTTAATTGCTAAATCTGTTAACCTACTCCTACCATTAATTTTTTTTCCATCAGAGAGCAATTTACCTTTTAACTCTTTTCTTTTGTTGCGCAGGCGTGCCCCAAGGCATTTTTGAATGTGGCCAATACATTCCCATTTAATGGGAATCAACTCATCAACATATGGTTTAGACTGTACTACATCATTAAATGAGGCAGTATCTCCATCACCTATGTAGTGTGCGTATCTTAAACCATATTTTTCAACTGATGAGTGAAATATTTCTATAGCTCCCGCGGATTCCATTGCTCCGGACGATTTTGAGTGGTTAATATCACAACGGTGATTTGCTTTCCAATGTTCATATTCAAGAGTATTTTTTTTCTTTCTTCCAGACAGCACAACTTTTACAGAACTTAGACATAACATGAACATCTAAAACTTTTTTATTGTCTTTGGAGATAGCTGAAACAACACCATTTAAAAAAGAATACCCTTGTTTCTGCCATGTTCCATCTAAGCTGATATCACAATCAACTGGAAGTTGATGTATTGAAGCACCAGTATTTGCAGAAGTTCTAATCTCGTCTGCAGCTTTTTTCATACATTTAGATGAAGCAGAGTCATAAACATTATGTAAAATATTATTAATGTTTTTATATGAATTAAAAGTCATTGGAGGTGACATACTCATACATCCAGCAAATGTCTTTAAAGCTTCATGTCCACAACCAATTTCGCGAAAACTCATTACAGCACGTACATTGACTTCTTGAATGTGTTTATTTTTTATTGCAGGAGATGAGGAAAAATTATAACTACAATCACAAGATATACATTCTAGTTTAATGTTATGCGAAAGTCCTAATTTTTTTATTTGGTCAAGACTGACAGTGACCTTGTCGCCACATTCTAGGCATCTACTCAAAAGTTGACGACAACTTTGCAGTACTCCAAAGTGAATTATTATAAAGAAGTTAGAATCTTCTTTTTCAACAGTTAAAAGTGAATTATCTAAACTAATTTTTGATGATGAAACAGCTTCCTTTACTATTGGTTTATCAATTTGATTTATTGTAGCACATGTATATCTGTTAGATGAAAACTGTCTTTTTCTGATTAATCTTATTTTATTTTTATTATTACCTATATTTAATCACTCTATAAACATATAAAGAATAAGTGCAGTTATTTGTATTATTAAGATAGATAAAAAATATTGGATGAAGTCACTGTGTTGACTTCAACACAGCATAAACAACGGTGAGCGAAAGATACTATGACTCAAAATGAGGTTTTGACTTTTTAAAAAACGAAGACCAGATATGTTACTGAATTGGGTAGAAATGTAGGAGAGAGCTTCTACATTGACTTATTTAGAGATAACATGCAAGGGAATGCTGCTACATCGACTGAGGGTTTGGGTTAAGACAGGTATAAATCAATCGATGTAGCAGCACTCTCCTACATTTCTCCTAAAATCAGTAATATATCTGGTCTTCGTTTTTAAAAAAAATCAAAACCTCATTTTGAGTCATAGTATCTTTTGCTTACCCATAAACAACATTACTTCTTGTTAATTAAATGTCATCATTAAAATGAAAACTATAACTTGTAAATAACAGAATGCCGTAAAACAAAGTAGACAAAGTAAAAAATGCATTTTGTTGTTCAAATTATAAGTTTTTTGTCAAAAAATGGGCAGATAAAACAAAGCTGACACGGTTGCTAAGGTGTTGCTATGGATAACATTTTTAACCCTACACCATAAAAATGTAAATTTCTTTATGATGGAACGTATAACTTATCTCAAATGACATATTTTTGGAATCTGCAATGCTTAAACTAGATAAAGAAGCAATAAAAAAAAATATGATTTTTTTTTTTTTTACATTTTTAAGAGGGTTGAGCCACCTTAAATTCAAAATAAGTAGTGAGCTCTGAGGCTAGTTGGACTATGAGGGCCTAAACACCAATTATGGTCATGTTGAAATAGCAGATTTCTTAACATATAAATCGATTCATCATATACTTTTGGGATGGGAAATTTGGATATTGTATTATTTATAAGCGATAATACTAACAATACGGTAATACTAATAGTTTTACTATATGATCTGAAAGATCATATAGTAAAAGATTTTGAGATTTTTAGTGGTGTGCCTCAAGGCTCTGTGCTTGGTCCTTTGTTATTCTTGATATTCGTAAATCACCTACCATCAATTATTAATTCCAATTGCAAATTATATGCAGATGACAGTAAACTTATCAAAGTTATAAAAAATGTTGAAGATCATGAGTCTTTGCAGAATGACATTAACGAATTTGTAAAATGGACGGATATCTGGTTGACAAAGTTGAACATCGAAAAGTGCAAGGTGATGCATTTAGGTAAAAAAAATCCACGAATGAGTTTTGTATGACCCACGACGGCAAAGAGTATAAATTAAAAACAACAGCAAGTGAAAGAGATTTAGGAGTGATTATTTCATCCGACCTTAAATGGCATGATCAAGTGACTTCAGCGACAGCAACAGCACAAAGAACTTTGGGTCCAATTAAACGTACGTTTACATACTTCGATGTGGAAATGGTGAAATCACTATATACGACATTTGTGAGACCGCTTATTGAGTTCGCTATACCTGCATGGCAGCCTTATTTACAACGGGATATTGATGAGTTAGAAAAAGTGCAAAGAAGAGCAACGAAGTTAGTTCCACAACTTAAAAAAATTTCATATGAAAAAAGACTGAAAGCAATGGGTTTAATAACATTAGAGAAAAGACGAGCCAGAGGAGATCTTATACAACAATACAGATTCAAGCAAAATATAGACCAAATAAATTGGTACAAAAATCCAAAACCGGCATCATCCGTGACTAGTTCAGGCCCGGCTTTTTCTGTAAGGGGCAATAAATACAGGCTAGAAAGAGAATAAATACCATCATGTTTACCGAGATATAATTTTTTTACCAATCGAGTTTGTAAAAATTAGAATTTGTTACCAAATGAAATCATTGAAGCAACATCATTGAATGTTTTCAAAGCGCGAATAGATAAACATTTTTCATAACTTGTGTTTTTTAATTTGTGTGGGCTGTCTATAACCCGATGCTTGCATCGCGTTCCACAATTTATTTTATTTCTAAATATTTATATTTAAACAAACTTGTAATTGTTACAGCAATAAATATTACTATTACTAAATATTACTACTATTACTATACTACTATCATACAGTAATTTTTTTACAGTAAAGTTTTTTTCAAACTTATATATTTTTCTTATAAATTTTTTAAATATCTTTTTGTAATTATTTATTAATATACATTTACTATCGAACGGGCAGAACAACGTACAGTGTCTATATATGCATTCATTGCATTCATTAATAAATTGTCATTTTTAAGGCAAACTTTCATTAATGAAAAAAACTTACGTTTGCACACAGCGTTGCAACCGTTACAGTAGTTTGGAACACATTGTGAACCAATTGAACAATTATAATTATTACATGGATTAACCAAACAGTTAACTGGAAAACAGGCTAAAATAAAAAAATTAAGTTCTTTATTAAAGTATATCGAAGACATTGAAACATTAAATGTCAATGTAAAATATTTTAACCCGAATATATTTTTGATACAATTTTTTTGTACAAAAGTTAACTAACAGTTAACTTTAATATTTTGTCAACTTTACTCAATACTCAAATATACTTGATATTTTAAAGGCAATTCTTTCAAAGAGTTTTTACATATTATATATATGTATATATATAGTTTATACATGTTTATTTATAAATATGTATAATCTCCTATAAATGCTTTATACATCGTTACAGACTCTAATAAAAAAAAAAACATTTGTTTGATTGAGCCTAGAATCTTAAGTATATCATTTCTGCTACAGCGTTGGGCTCTCGATGGTTGGTGAACTTTAACTCATATAAAAATCAAATTTTTTTCAGCTAATCGTTATCGCGATAATTTAGATCGTTCTATATTTATGAACGGTAATCTACTTGATGAGTCATTTACCCTTCATTTTCTAAGATTAACTCTTACTTCTGATCTTTCTTGGAAACCATATACCAAATCCGCTCGACGCTTTCTTACTCCCAATTCTATTCTCAATAAATCTCATAAACTTCATCTTTTCTCTTTAAGTAACTTCCAACTTAAATAGTAATTGCTTGTAGTCTTGTTTAAAAAAAAAAGGAGGAACATATAAAATTCAGAAATTATAGCCTTATAAACATTTACATTTATAAAAAATCATAGCCCCCTCAATTTGCAAAGGGTCAAAATTAACTACTTTAGAGTTTTTCTCACTTTCAGCAAATGTGTATTTTTTTCTTGAACTAGTTTTTTCTCTCTTTAAAAAGTGGTTTTTATTAAGTTGTATCATAGTAGAAAAAAATTATGACCTCCTTAACTTTGGAAGATATCTGAAAATTGCTAAAATATGCTGAAAATTGCTAAAATATGCCAAAATAAAATTTTTCTATTCATCCAAAAATTTTCTAATTAGCTACTACTGTCTGCAATAAATGGGCAAAATATAGGCAGTTGTTGCAGTTTAGAACTCAAATATATCTAAAAAGTATAATGCCCATTCGCCTAAAAAGTCTTGGAAACCTGTGCCTCTCTAACCTGCTTACTAACCCATGTGAGGGGTGCAACCAATTATAAGTCATTTCTTGATAAAAAGAAAGATACAGTTGATTGCCTCCTCCTTGATAGTCTTTATAGTGAATAAATAAATAAACATAAATAAAGGGGAAGTAACATTTTAGAGACCTTCATTATTGTTTAAATGTAATACTTTAAACATAATTTACACAGTTAAAGAGTATTATATCTCAAATTCAAAAACGGTTTGTATCTTCCAAAATAATGCTGGACAGTTTTTTAAAAGATTTTTATAATATATAAAGAGTATTAAAGAACTCTATAATAAAAATAAATAGATATTATTAAAGAAAATAGTCAAAACATGTTAATTATTAGGTTTAATAATTAGGTTTGGCTTTTGCTTTCTAATTGATAGTTAATTGATCATTAAAAACAATTAATATATGTTCATTTAGTTAATCTTTTTATTAACAAGATAATAAAAAGTAAAACCCTTCATCTGTTTTTGAACTCAGTCTAATGTATCTTGGCAATAATATTACTTACTGGATACCAATGGGTGTTATAAGATATTTAAAATAATCGCTAGCATTTTGTATACTGCTGACACAAATAGAATCACATACAAGAGCTTGTTATCTTATCAGGAAAAACTCACTAAAATAATGCACAATCAGATATTTGATGAATATTGACGTCAATTTCAGCGACTTTTGTGTAAGCATCATCCAGCATGCGAAAAATATCAAGTGTACTGCTCATTGATATTACATAAACTTTTAAACAGCAAAATTGAGAAGTAATAAAATCATTAAGTTTTTATAAGAGCAGGAACATTCTCAAACGATTTAGTGAGCACTTCATGTGTATTAGCAGCTGTTTTGATTTCAGATATAGAGAAAAACCTGAAAATAAGTTTAAAACAGATAAATCTGAAAACATAGTTTTAAGAATGTATTTAGTAAGATCTTGTTTTAATGAGTTATTTTCTAGACAATTTTTTTAAAGAAAAAACATTTAGATCAAAGTTTTCAAGTTTTGTTTTTTTAGGTCTGACTTATTTTTAACAAAAAATAAAATTAGCCAATCTAATTATCATTAATTAAAAGTCTATTATGATATAGGATAAAAAACATCAAGCAAGGCAATAAAATGCTATATACCTGATGTTTTTACAGTTTTTTAGCAACAAAGAATATGTCTTTTGGTGTCAAAATCTTCAGAGGCCGATTTCTATTTGGCTTTTGAAGGGACAGTTTACTAATAACTTTTTCACCAGTAACACCTACTCCATCTTATATATTTTTTCCATATGTTATGCTAAAAAATGTCAATCTGCTTTCAATTAGTAGTCTTTTTTATGAAAACAAAGATTTTAAAAACTTTACTTGCGATATAAAAAAGAATACCTATCCAGAAAGCGATAATTAATTTATCAAATTTAAAAAATATAATTTCAAAAACCAAATAACAGGTCTTCTGAACTTGCGGAAATTCTTCTTTCAGAATTGATATGGTTTTTGAAACATAACTAAAGACCGCCTTAGTATGAAACAAATAGTTAAATATACAAAAAACCAACTTTCTAGGGATAGGGAAAAATAAGATGAACTTCATCCTGAATTACAAAAATTCTTCTGCAAAATCAACTTGCATAACATTTTTTTGTTTTCATGTTTTCTTTGAGCTATATTGAAACTTAGATTTGCTGACGTAATGATGTTTTGTGAGTTTATATAAGTTGTTTCCTAAACCTTCTTGAATCTCATCAGGGCTTTTAGCTATCGTTTTTAAACTATCCGTTTCCAATCATTGTTTATAAGTTTTTTTCATTAGCACAAGGTCATTTAATTCTTTTTCAATTTCACACACTCTTGAGATGTGTCCTGGAAAGATATATGCATGAATGAAAAATACATGATTAATTTTTTAATGAATATACAGTTAATGCCAAGGCCGGTGCAATGCGGGGCGTGTGGGATGTGAGAGCAACAAGTTGATAAAATACTTTTTGCACTATTCTCAACTATATTTATATTTATCGATAAACTTTAATTTTCATAGTAAAATAATTCAGAGTTCAAAAATTATGACCAAATAAAGTTTGAACCCCCTCAATTTGATTCATCTCAATTTGAGGTAGTTACAAATTTTATATCGCCATTAACTGAGAGATTATACCATAAAATAGTATAGTGTATATGTATAGTACAGCCGTGGCGCAGTGGTTAGAGCGCTTACTTTATAAGCAGGAGATCCAGGTTCAAAACGAGCTCTGGACATATTTTCGCGTCACGGTAAGGAAGGAGGCGTGATTTTCTTGGTTAAATGGAGTTCCACGATGCTCTGTAACAAGACCGTTAGGTCTTCAAGAGCACCTAAAAATTAAAAAAAAAAAAAAAAAATTAAAATCGATGAATATTAGTCTAGTTAAGAATAGTACAAAATATTGGTAATAATAGTACATTCTAGCAAATTGAGGGAACAAAATTTTTAGGGCTTTTTTGTTCCCAGGCTTCAATTATCGCAATTTTTTGAAAATCGTTCTTATTTGACATAAGTATAAACATATAAACGTTTGGAGTTTGCTCCATGTCTGGAAGTTAGCTATATCAAAAACCAAAATATGCTGGATCTGCCCAGAAAAATATGATAAACTACTTAAGCAATGTTTATTTAATAAACAAATTTGTGCAAAAATTATCAAATACAGTAAGTCTTTTATATTGTATGGAAATAGGAGCTGATAAGTTTATTAGAAAATGTAGCAGAAAAATAAACGATTAAAGAAATTATGCAGTGATGAATTAACTGTCAAAGAAGCAAAGTATCATAACTCATGTTATCGTAGTTATACTTGTGAACGACACTTATGAAAAGAATGTAAAGATATTATATAATTTGTAAAAAAATCTTTGCAAAAAGATTAATGAAGTTGAGGTTTTAGCTCTTTGAAAATTGAAGATGCATTAACGGAGTCTGTTAAACAGAAGATTAAAGGTGACGAGGCGTTAACGGAGCCTGTTAAACAGAATAATTAGTTAAACGAACTTTAACAAGTCTATAAATTAAATATACTGTTTTATGGCCAGCAAGCCTCAAGGGTTTAGATATGAACATTATGAATACTGAAGAAAAATTATCTCTTTCTTGAATGTCATATTACCTGGCCAGCAAGACTCAAGGGTTTAGATATGAACATCATGAATACTGAAGAATAATTATCTCTTTCATGAATGTCTTAAATTGTCATTGTTTGCACCATGCTGGGGCATGGTATAAGCAAATACATTATAGAAAAATTGCTTATGAGAATATTTTAACTTAATTGACTTAGAAATAAATGAGGACCAGAACGATTAAAATTACCCTTACTATTTCTCTGCATGATAATATAGACTTAATATATACTTGAAGAAACATCAGATCATCATTAAAAAACAAATCTAAGTTCTCTTTTTTATGTAACATTGTTCTGATTATTTTATGCCTTATATTTAATCAAGTTCATTTAATTATTCTACTCTATACTTGCTTAGGTACATCAAATTGAGTCAATGAAATATTAATGCAATAAGGAACGTTCGGAAAAGTAGAAAATATGGAGAAAAGGTTGGAGCCAAAATTCAAACAAAGTTGACGGCTATTTACTGTACAATTGAACTAGTGCAAAGTAAATTTTAACTTTGATGAACAATTAGGACCAACCTTACTTTTACTAGAATATAAAGATAAGAAAATGTTACTGAAAAGCTAAAATATGAACAATTTTTCGTGCTATAATCCAACACTTTGAATTCTAGCACGAAACTTTTTTACCACAGATAATTCCTAATTGGATAGGATTCAATACTGAAATAAGAAAAAGTATTGGCATCACAAAATCAACTATTTACCATTTTAAAA